CATGACCCCAGTTCTACCTTACAAATCCGGCTAGACCGGAGCATGTACACCGGTGCAGATCAGAGCTCTTGACACATGGAATCCAGGGCAGATAAGCCCCTCAGGCACAGTAATGGGAGAAGCGATACAATGAGAACAGGGGGACGCTGGGGGAAAAGGGGGAGAAAGTGGGAACCGATCACAATGATCAACGTATAACCTCCCACTGAAGGGGATGAACAACAGAAACATGGGTGAAGGGAGACAGCAGATGGTGTAAGATATGAAAATAATAATTTATGATTTATCAAAGGGTCACGAGAGTGGGAGGATGGGGGAGGAAGGGGAAAAAGAGGAGCTGATAGCAAGGGCTCAAGTAGAAAGAAAATGTGAAAATGATGAGGCAACATATGTACGAATGTGCTTGAAACAATTGATGTATGGGTTGTTATGGGTCCCCAATAAAATGATTTATTAAAAAAAAAAAAAGAAGGAATCTTTGGCAAAACCAAAATAATCAGAAAATTACTCTCTAGGTGTACAACAGGGTATATCCAGGCCGGGCAGGGTGACTGAACACGGCACACAGTGCCGACTGGCTAATTATCAGGCACAGCACCACTAAGGGCACAGTAATGCTGCTGCCTTAGTCTACTTGTTTCTAACACCCTACAGTGACGATGGTGGCGGTGGACAGGGCCCTGCCAGAGCATCCAGTGTGGGCCCGCCTCTCAGGAGATGGACACCTTTCCCACGAGCCTCTGGGAAGGCTCCGTGCCTCCTTATCCGAAGGGCTTCATACGCATCATAATCATGCACAAGGGCTCTGAGCCAAGGCATTTTCTAAAAAGGAGTGTGTCCGAGGGAGTGGAGGCAGGTTCCCTTGCGTGTGAGTGCTGACACCGACATAGCGAGAGCCGGGCCCTCGCTGAGTGAGGTCATGAAACCGTGGGGATGGGCTCCACGGGTGGCCTTGCGGTACGCGTGTGCAAGGTCTGCACCTTTGGCAGGGTGAAGGCACCACCTGTCACTCTCCATCTCCTGGGAAATAGCTGCATTTTCCTTCTCAGAGAGGTTTCTGCCTTACACAGGGTCCAGGTCTCACAGGTTCCACGGGAGGCATCACGCCAACTCACCGGGGCAGAGGTGGGAAAGAGCAGCGTGCAGGGAGTACACGTACAAAACGGGGGGAGAGCGGCGGACACAGCAGGGAAGGCAGGACAAGGCGACAAGGGAAGCCCGCATGAGAAGCGCCGCAGCGGACCAGGGAAGACAAGCCTCCTGCTTCTCCTGACACCCAGTCATCCCGAGGGTAAGGACAGCACAGGCATTGCCTGCACTCAGAAGAAGTGTGATGACAAAGGGCTACCCTGGTCCCCTCAGCCCCCCTACCCCGATGCTCCAACTCTCAGGGGAGGACAGGAGAGGAGAAGGCGCCCGCAAAGTCGGGAGGAGAAAGCAGCCGCACGCACAGACCAGGTGGGAAGGGAGCACTCCCAAAGCCTGTTGTTGACCTTCTCGCTCAAACTAACACCCCCAACCTCACAGAGACCCCTGAGGATTCCAGAGACAGCTGAGGAGGCAGCGGCACTCTGGGTCAGGCATCAGACTGCTAAAAGACAGGTCATTGGTTCAAGCCCACTAGCCTCTCCTTGGGGCAAGAAGGGAAGCTGGCTGCCCGTAACGAGTCATTGTCTCCAAAGCCCCAGACAGGGTTGCAGTGAGTCAGTGCTTGGGCAAGAGGAGGTACCTGTCGGTGTCTAGTCAGTCTTCTATGTAACACCCCCAACATCAAGTGATATGCGAGAGGCAGGAGGGTCTAAAGACTGGGAGTCTAAAGCAGAATTTCGTGCAATGACAGGAATGCTCATTATCAGGCTGACCCGCGGCAGAGGCTACAGGCTCACACCTGCACTCAGAACTGTTGAGCCTCCTGGTGACTTCCCACCCCCGCCATGCTTCCCGCCCTCCCTCACAGGCCTTTCCTGAGAGCATTTTCCCAACACATCCCGACAGAAGAATCTCTGTCTCAGGGTCTGTTAAGAGGCCCCTCATTTCAGCACACCTATGCGTATACAAGTACTGACTGACTAATGTGTTCTTTTCTCCATTCTAACCACCCCCACTTTTCACACTGACAGTGCCTATTCTACCACTGTTCTGTACCCGCCACTGCCACTCCTATGTCGTGAAAATGTTTCCATCTGTTAGCAGCCCAATGCAGACGTGCTGTACCAGGGGGTTCCCTAAAACAAGTATACCTCTAGGGCAAATTCCTAGAAATAAAACTGCTGACTCAATAGGCAGGTGCCTTGATAATCGGGATGGATATTGCCAATTTGTTCTCTGTAGGGCTGTACTGTTCTTCCAAGAACAATATGAGGAAGTGCCTTTTTATCATAGCTTCAGCAGCTTAGAATAGTATTAACATGGTCTGACTTAAAGACTCTGGTCCCTCCCACCCGGAGCAACAAAGAATAAAGGAAACCAAAGACCGAAGGAAGCAACCAGTGCAGGGACTGAGACCAGAAGGGCTACACAGCGCCCACCCCCTCCGCAATGTCCTATCAGGGACCAAAGGAGAGGTCCTGCATGGACTAGGAGACAAATGTCGAACAAAACTCAAATTCATACCATCACACTTACACGTCTGATAGAGCCTAGAGCAGCGGTTCTCAACCTGTGGGTCGCAACCCCTTTGGGGCTGGAACGACCCTTTCACAGGGGTCGCCCGATTCGTAACAGTTGCAAAATGGCAGTGATGAAGTAGCAACGAAAATAATGTTATGGTTGGGGTCACCACAACCTGAGGAATTGTATGAAAGGGTCGCGGCATGAGGAAGGTTCAGAACTGCTGAACTAGAGGAATCCGAAGACTACTGTCCTAAGATACCCTTTTAACTTGGAACTGATACCAGTCCTGGATGTCACTTTTCGACCAAATGACAGACTGGTGTGTTTATTATGTAAACACCACCAACCATGAGGGGCATGTTCCTTAGCATCAACCACGTCAGACCCACAGGCAACCTGTGCCCATGAGCAACAGGACAGGGCAAGGCGGGGCAGGAGTGAGAAGGATGGACAGAGGAGAGGGAGGGTGGGAATGAGGAGAGTGCTGACCCTGTAGGAAGAGCAACCAACGTTCTGGAATAATTTATGTATGAACTGTTGAATAGGAAACTAATTTGCTGTGTAAATCTTCACCTAAAACACAAAAAATATTGGAGAAGAAAAAAAATAGTATCACATTGTAGCATTTGGATTCGTTTTATATACTTAAGAGTTACTTTCTTTTTCCCCCATGACCTATCAGTCAGTATTCTTTGCCAGTTTTTCTCTAGGGTGGTGGGTTGTCTACTTGTCATGCAGAGTCTCTACATATCGGCAAAATTAGTATTTGTGCGTATTATTTTTTAAAGCAGCTCATTCTCTACTAGAAGGGAAAGGCCTCAGAGCCAGGAATGGATATCACTTTCTCTCAGAAGCCCCTCGCAGCCTGTATTTCACAAACAGAGCAATCTCTGAAACCACTGCTGTCTGTGCCTTACAGGACTCCCCGTACTCCAGTTCTACAGCAGATGATTATATCAAACATAAAGGTCCACGGGCAACCCTAGCACCTGCTAACTGAACCATGGCAACACGAAGCCGCCACGAAGATTACAGGCAAGAGGAGAAATACACAAAGCCCTGCGGAGCAGCACGACTCCGGAACACACGGGGTTGTGAGGGGTCAGAACTGACAGCAGCCAAATGTGGCAGGTTCTGTTTTTCATATCTAAGGTAAAGATCGTTCAAAATGTCAGTTACGCCAATAAAGCCCTGATACATGCTATCTGGATAACCGTCGAAAGCGGAGTGAAGTCCATCAAAAAAGGACAAATCTATAATCTCACTCACGTAAAGAGGCAAAAGTACAGAGACAGATGTTTATCGGTGGTTACTATGGGCAGGAGGGGAGGAAAGGGGAGTCACTTCTAGGAAGCACTGAGTTTCCATTGATAATGATGAGAAATGAGAGACTTAGCAAGAGATACTGGTCATGGGTGGTTGCACAACATGATTAATGCCACTGATGTAACCAAATTGTGCATATGGAAACAATAAATTGCCAAATGTCGTACTGTCATATACATTTATCTACAAATAATAACAATATTATCTAGGCTAACTCAGGCTCAATTAAAACTCCAAAGAGAACGTGGGACTTACTTTTTCAGTCCTGGGATCTCTGCTGGCTTTACAATTTTTATCAACCCTTTAAGTCTCTGCTGTTCTTTCCGCAGTTCGAAAGTTCTCAAGTGAAGCTTCTTCCGGGACACACCATCTAAGGCACTCCCCGACTTCATTTCCGACATGAATGCGTCCAAGGAGTCCTGAGACGGAGACTCTGACTGAGCTGTGCGAGGAAGGGATGAGCCGTGTTTGAAAAGAGGGTCCCTGTACATTGTTTTAAATGAACCCCACAGGACAGTCCCTCCCACTCAGAGCTGGACAGAGGGCATCGCTGATGCTGACAGGAAGAAACAGGCCGTGGCTGGGAGAGCGTGGAATCGCGTCGCGTCTATTAGAGCCCATACATCAAATTATTGAGAGCCTTCTTAGCTCTGAAATGCCATTATTCTTCTTAGAAAGAGTTAATTGGCTCCATATTCCATATGCTTTGTCTTCTTAGCCAATGTGCCCCAGTGTCAGGCATTACCACCACACAGAACGGGCGCTCAATAAACGCTGTGGAATCAATCATTGTCTTACCTCTGCTTGAGGCCTTTAGCCTCTCTGAAATTTCAGAGAGCTCCTTGTCAGCATCATTTAACTTTGCAACCTGTAACACCCAAACCGACAGTTACCAAAGGCTTTTCTTCGTACAGAATAGAAGTCTAGAGAATTCATTCAGGAGTTCGGTTTAAGTTTGTTCCTTATGAAGTTAGTACTTTTCATTTGCTAATTGAATTCTAGAATTAAATTACATTTAAAGTAAATTCAGAATTAAAGAAATCAGATTTAAATGGAATGAGTGTAGAACTCACATTATTCTATTCGACAGGAAGAGAGCTTAAGGCATTTTTCATGGATGAATCAAAGGATCGATTGTGGATATGTTTTAAGTTCTGAATACTAAATACAATGTAAGCAGATGCCAACATATGATCATTTCAAATATTGAGCCTATTACCCACGCTACTCCCCAAGTTTCTTTAGCCTCCTCTTGACTGCCAGAAGCCTAACATCAATTTCATCTCGACTGCACCAGGTTGAAAATGTTCCCTCTCTCTTGCAGTCACCTCTGAAGGGTCAATATAAACCTAATGAATCAATGTAAACCAAGGAAAATCGCTAGCAGCAAGGTGAATTTTACCCGACAATTGGAGAAAACTAGTTGTTGGTTTCCATTAATTTTACAGATCATGTAAATGTTCAAATTCCAGTGCCACTACTTTTTCAAAGTTCTGGTTCTCATAAAATAGATTTAAATAGTGCACAGTTGTATAACGAAGACTTAACTGCCCAAGCTCGCCCTCTGGGGAAAACGTACCAGTGACTCCAAGGTCTCTGGCTTCTCCTCGGCCTTCCCAGCCTTCTTCATTCGCCTGAGACGCTTCTTCTCAACCAGGCCGGTCCGGTCAAGGAAAGGGTCGTCGTCACTGTCGTAGAAGTCGTCATCCTCCCAGTTCTTGGCTTTCCGTTTCCGAGATACTAGGAGTGAGCAAAAGCACTGGTACTGAGATCGGATTCCCTGTTTTAGCAGTTTTATTGACATATAATTCACATAGCACACAATTCAATGGGTCTTTAAGAGAAAGTAATTAAAACCAACGCATATTACCATCCATGCTCTAAGGAGAAGAGTCAAGAAACTGCTAAATTACATATGTAAACAAATAGCTCATTTACTTCATGAGCAAAAGGCTCTCTTAAAAAATCAATGAGAAAAAGAGAAAAATAATAGGCCAATGATCCAGAAGAAAATCTGAAAATAATAAAAGGAGCAGATTCAAGGGATCAACAATTGAGATCTTTAAAAATGCAATGATCAGGTATCAGGCATCTAAGACCCACAATAAAACCATACCCAAGGTGAACAGGGAGGGGTCATGGAGTGGAGACCCAATGCCCATCTGTAGACAATTGGACATCCCCTCACAGAGGGGTCACAGGGAAGAGATGAGCCAGTCAGGGTGCAGGATAGCACCAATGAAACACACAACTTTCCTCTAGTTCTTTGGTGCTTCCTTCCCCCCACTATCATGACCTCAATTCTACCTTACAAATCAGATTAGACCAGAGCATGCACACTGGTACAGATAAGAGCCCACAACACAGGGAATCCAGGATAGATGAACCCCTCAGGGCCAACAAGGAGAGTAGAGATACCAAGAGGATTAGGGGAGGGTTGGGGGAGAAAGGGGGAACCGATCACAAGGATCAACCTAGAACCCCCTCACAGGGGAACAAATAACAGAAAAGTGGGTGAGGGGCGACGGAGGAAAATGTAAGATATGGAAAAAGTTAAAGTAATCTATAACTTATCAAGGGTTCGTGAGGGAGGCAGGGTTGGGGAGAGAGGAGGAAGAATGGGGAGCTGATATCAGGGGCTCAAGTGAGAAGAGAAGGCTTTGAAAATGATGATGGCGGCATATGTGAAAATGTGCTGACACACTGGATGCATGTATGGATTGTGATAAGAGATGTAAGAGCCTCCAATAAAAGTATTTATAAAAAATGCAATGATCTAACAATGTCACGTCTAAATTTATCCCACAGATATCAAGTTTAGCATTGTTTCTAACAGTGAAGATCTAGAAAGTCAATCAGAAAGACACCGTAGTTTTTATTAATTTTGTCTGTACCACACTCCATCCTGGTCCCCTCAAAAACTCTCTCACCATTCTATCTGATTTAGGGATAGCCATGGGACCAAAGTCTCCCCTTCTATTTCTAATTCAGATGTAAGAAAAAGAGACTCCCTCTCCAAGGAGGTTTTTTCAAAGTGGGAGGATATTAATACAGGACTGCAAGGAATCAGCTTTACTGTGTGGGTTAAGAACTAATCTATGTCTAAGGTATAAAGATTGCCCTTTCCCTGTCTCGAGCAAAGAAGAGTAATGAAATCAGAAGGCATAGGGAAACAGTAAGTCTAATGGATGCCGGGACCACGAAAACATCCGACCTTCAGCCCTTACATCAGAAGAACACTACCAACTGGTCTGAAAGGGATCACATTAGGTCTTGGAAAGAGTGGGAGAAAAATGCCGTACAAAACTCAAAATCATAAAAGAGACGAAGTTTACTGGTCCCACAGAGAGTGGTGACATCCTCAAGACTGCACCTCTTAGTCACACTGCAGGTCTGGAAGTAAACTCAGCTCTGTGGCTTAATTTTCAGTCTTTAACAGAACAACAGGGATCTTCGTGGTACTGTTGGGTAAACACTGGACGAGTAACCACAGGGCTGGCAGTTCAAACCCACCAGCTACTCCTCAGAACAAAGAGGAGGCTGCCTGCTTCCATAAAGATTTAAAGCCTCAGAAACACACACAGGGTTGCTCTGAGTCAGAACCAACTTGATGGCCGCGGGCATGAAAAAAACAAGGGCACAATACCAGCAAGGTAGCACACCTTAGAATCACAGCCATTTCAGATCAGAAGGGAGCATGTGGCCAAGGTCAAACTTAAGAAGGGTTAGCAAAGAAAGAAAAATGCACACAAGCAACACAGAAAAAGGGTACGTGGTGGCACATTGGGGGAATTGCAATGAATGAGAAGAAACAAAGCGCATATGGATTATTGAAACAAACAAAAACAACAACGACCGATGATCTGCTCTGTAAACTCTTATCCAATTCACAATAAAATGTGAAAGAAAGAAAAAAATGTATCTAAACAGATAGCAAGAGACACACAGGTAGGGCTTGAATGTATCCTGGGGATAGGAGTTCTGTCCGTGTGACATAACTTGAGGTCCTGCTTCATGCCAGTCTTCCTTCAGCCCTGTGAGCTATTCTTCACCGCAGAGAGAACCATCACTGTTCCTCCTGGCTTGAGTTTTTCTTATTTGCAACCCAAATAGTCTTTTATGACTATAAGTCTGATAATGTCTAGGTTAAGATGGTACAGCAAACATGCATATCTAATTTACTTTCTCCCCAAACTCCAAGGTAGTAAAGAGATTTTTTATTTTTTTGTGTGTGTAGCCGATTATTTTATTAAATTTAATAGTTCAACCATATCAATCTTTAGCACAGTCAAATTTAGAACATTTTCTTTTTCCTATACTCATTTGTATTCCATTTTGATAAAAATATACACAATAAAATATGTACAATATTCCCAATTCATAAATATGCACAAATATATTCTCCAATTCAACAACTTATACATAAATAATTCAGTGCCATTGATTATATGCTTCCTGTTGTACAACCATTATTAAAATCCCTCTCCTAATTATTTCACTACCATTAAAATGAACTGTCACCCTAAGCAAAGCAGAGACTCTTCCTTCTTCACCCAGGGTAACAGAGGTCAAGTTTGATTTCTTTTCTGTTCCTTATTAGTTTTCTTTTTTTTTTTTGTTTCATTTCTTTTTTTCTTTTTTCTTTTTTAACATTTTATTAGGGGCTCATACAACTGTTATAAGAGATTTTTTATTTTTAAGACACTAATTCACAAAGAAATGAAACTAGGAAAGAGCACTCACAACTCAAACTCACTGCCATCGCATCGATTCTGACCTACAGTGACCCCACAGCACAGGGAAGACCTGTCCCTGCCTGCAGGTCCAAGACCGAAGGTAACGCGTCACAAGAGTGGAAAGCCCTGAATGGCTGGCTTCAACCTGCTGACAGGTGGTTAGCAGCCCTAACCTGCTATGACACCTTAGGAAAGAGCGCAGCAACACTACATTTTTGAAAGTTAGAAAGCAGACAGAAGAATGGAAATGAACTTGGCATAACTAAAAGAGAGGACTCCCATGATGCCCCAGGGGGATGACTGATCATGTTCTCTCTAGCATAAAATGACAATGATGTGTCTTAAGGTGAACCAGAGACATAGATGAACCTTAGATGAAAGGATGGTGTGTTAGACAGGGTTCTCTAGAGATAAAATCAAATTGCTGATAAATATATTTATTTATAAAGATAATTAGATATATAACAAGAAATGAACTGTTAAATTATATACAGATAAATAAAAGAAATGAACAGTTAAATTATACGCACTACAAATGGCTCAGAGTTGTGACACACTAGCAGTCCTCCTCATCTCTCTGCTGTCAGATCGCCCTCTATTTATAGAGAGAGCTAGGCTATGTCAGCACAGCAGCCAATCACAGGGCAGATCACCAACTGTCAACTAACCCCCAGTCCCAACTGCCAGTCCCCAGCTCCAGAGATGCCTTAAAGGGACCTCAACTTACAGAGACACAGTCCACAGGGTAGGCGTCCCACAGGTAGTATAGTCTATAAATTGAGGCAAAGAACGAGCAAGGCAGCTGCACACTGGTCCGATGATCAAAGAGCAAGAGACAAGAAAGGTGAGGCTCACTGAGCCATTATCTCTCCGCCCTTCGGTTAATCCTACTTGCACTTATCGGCCAGGCTGGCATAATAAACTATATCAGATGGATTTGGGGCTTGCACTTAATTCTAGCCCAATCTAAGAACAATTAGTTCTGATGACATGACCTGCTTGATGCGCCCTCATGAAGATATGGGTGCTACAGCAAAGTGTGATGAAGAAACTAGATGGTGCCTGGTTATCAAAAAGAATAGTAGCTGGGGTCTTACAGGCTTGTTTTCAAACAAGCAGTCATCTAAATGAGCATCCACGTGGCAGAAGCACACCAGCCCATGTAATCCAAGGAATGTAAGTACCTGTAGTATAATCCAAATCTAAAGGAGGCATCAGAGCTTAAATTGTGAACACCTGGTTTATAAGAAACTATGGATGACAGTGGAAGCCCAAATCCATTTGTAAGGACCCCACATGTATTAAGCCTCTGGTGAATCCCCTCCAAATTCTAGTTGAGGGATGTGAAGAGCCCTGTTATCAGACAGAGAGCATTGCAAAGTCGATTACAGCCAACTTAGTTAGGTCAAAATGTAATATCATTTGATCTTCTTTTGACCCATTTAAATTTGTTCTAGTCTTGAATATTTTCTGCTTTCTTTTTAATTGAGGTTTTTATCTGTTTGAATTGGTTATTCTTGATAGTGTTTGTCTTTTAATGTTCATCTACATATGAAATCCAGGACAGGCAACTCTATAGATTAATGGCTCCTTGGTGGCAGAGAAAAGGGGAGCTAATAATGATGAGGACAAGAATGAAGAAAATGCTATGAGACTGATCATGGTAATGACTGTGCAACTCTTCTTGATGTGACTGAACTACTGAATTGTATGATATGTGAATTATATGCCAATAAATCCGTTGAAAAATAAAATAAGAGAGGACTCCCATACCATTAGTGGGGAAAGCTGAGAACCAATCTGATTCCACTGCAGGATTCACAGAAACCATGAAATATGAAGACTTAATTAAAGCTGGTTGAGTAACAGATCCTCCTCCGACTCACCTCCTTCCCAGTTACCATAGAAACCCAGAGGCTAATCTCTAGAAAGGTAGACCAGAGTCTTTGGACAATGGTTAGGGCATGAACACTGTATTCAAGAAACAGTTCTGCCCTGAAAATAGCTGCATGCTGAGGACCTGCCCGGACTGCTTCTACCCCACAGCTCTACAAGTGCTGGCAGCCAGTCCTCTTTTCGTGTAGGAGATTAAGACAGTACTCTTCAGAGAATACGATTGGCAAAAGGAGAACAACCATAGACTCTTACATCAAGTCAGTATTCTCAACAAAAGGCCCACCCAGAAGGCTGGATAGTATCTAGTCAATCAATCGTCCCCATCTATGTATTCCACGCTGCCGATCAGTTTTCAGTCTCCAAATAAGAACACACAACTACAGATTAAATGATACTTGAGAGACTTCTAAAATAAAGACCAAAACAAACAAAAAGAAAAGGGCAACCTAGAGAAAACAGATTAGTAGAGAGATGAGAGGAGCTAACTGTAATCTGGAAAAGAACAAGGGGTTATCACATTAAAAAAAAGAATATTCAAGGAAATACAAAGGCCTGCATTTTGATAGCAAAATAAAAAGGCCAAAAGATAAAGTTGCAAAAAATCTCTCGGAAGGGAGCAAAAAGATAGGAAGTTAGAAAAAAAGATAAAGAGAGGTCTAAAATCTTAATAACTCTAACGTAATTGCAGAAAACAAGATGGCACAATCAATGACATATTTACGTGAATGCAACTGTCAGGAGGCCCCAGATCAGAGGACCCCAAAATGCCCAGGAACTATGGGTGCAACTAGACCGACAGCGAGGTGCATCGCGGTCAAGTTGCAGAGCCTGAGGACAAAGGGAACACCACTGAAGAAGACTCATGCCCTCTAGTTGCACACCTGTTAAAGCTAGAGAAAGACCTGTCCCACACCAAAACAACAGAGTAAGGTAAGAACACTGAGACTGTCAGAATCAAGAAACAGAAAATCCAAAACAGGAGAAAAGCAAAGGAAATATCAAGAATGACCGCAAAGTCAAGTCCCAGGATGACAGTTTAGCAGCAGGTCTAGGGAGTAGTAGGCCCGACAAGAAGGAAAACCATATTCTCCAGCAGAAATGTCTTAAGAAATGCTGAACCTGATAAATTTGTCAATGGACTAACCATGTCAAAAAGCTAGACAGACTATTCAAACATAACAGAAGAATGAGTAAGAGCTACAAAGAAAACCAAAGACACACAGAAAACTAAACTATTACTAACTTGAAGGCAAAATTATTTGACTAGGACTACTATTTGCCTAGCATCATAATGTAAGTGCTAAATATAAATTTAATAAACCAATAGGCAATGTTCAAGTTAATGACTTGAAATACAATAGTATCTAATTTTTTAGAAATATGAGTATTTGTAAATGCCTGAGGATATAACTGGAAGAGTTGAAAGTTGTAGACTCTATTGATGAGGATTTCAGAAAGGTATTTTGTTTTTAATCATTTTTAACTACACATTACTGTGTAAAAGCAAAAATTAACTTTAGAATAATGACATAATAAAGTCTAATAAATTATGGTATAGCCATTGCTTTGTTTTTAAATAGAACAAAGTTCATACATTAATAGAAACAATAGATACATACTTATGTTAAAAAAGTTTGTCATAGAGGAAAAAAAAATGACAGGCCGACATGTTTTTGTCTGAATGTTTAGCTTTAGTCCTACAGATAAACCCCTCAGGGCAAATAATGAGAGTAGCGATGCCATGAGGGTGGGGGAAGGTGGGGAGAAAAGGGAGAACTGATGGCAATGATGGACGTACAACACCCCACCCCACTCTGGGGGACAAACGACAGAAATGTGGGTGAAAGAAGACAGTGGATGGTGTAAGAAATGAAAATAAAAATAATTTATAAATTATCAAGGGTTCACGAGGGTGGGAGGGTGGAGGAGGGAGGGAAAAATGAGGAGCTGATACCAAGGGCTCAAGTAGAAAATGTTTTGAAAAGGATGATGGCAACATATGAACAAATGTGCTTGACACAATGGATGCATGGATGGTGAGAAGATCTGTTAGAGCCTCCAATAAAATTACTTATTTAAAAACAAAAGAATTTATTCCTACACGTGCATGTTCATATATGTGTAGAAAATGAGCAAATAAAAAGAATGGCTACCTCAAGGTGTCGAGACTGAAATTTTTTTTTCACTTTTTGGAATTCTGTGCAATTTACGTTTTCCCTTTATAAAGAGGTTGTATGCTAAATTTGTTTTCATTTTCTCTCTTAATTTTTAAAGAAAAAAAGCCTTTCCATATGCTGACCTGCCTCCTGACGCAGCAATCCCAAAGTGTCCAGGATCCGACACGCTTCCAGGGAGCACTGCATCATGGCTTCCTTTTTCTTTCCCGAGTGAAGGGCCTCCGCCATGAGCTGTTTCCCCGTTGAATCATCCACGGGTAACCTACATTGGTTTGGAGAGAATCATAGCTCAGCTCGATCTTCAAGAAATTCTCATCAAGGCAACAAACATGTCATCTTTTTTTAACTAACTTTTCAATCTCTCGATTCCTTTTCTTCTACTCTGCTAAAGCTGGGCTTCAAAGCTTTCCTTTCACCCTATCTTCGTCCCAGGGGATAATTTAAGTGTTGCTCAAATACCAAAGCCCCAAATCAAGACTAGCTTAAAATTAAAGACTTAATACTCAAGCTGTTGTCTACAACCATAAATTAAGAACATACCTCACCCTGCAGAGCCAAGTACTGTGCCCCTGTTCATCGAACTCATACTCTAATTCTTCTCCTGTGGCAGAGAGATGGACATGACAACTTTAATAGGATCTGAAAACTACCAGTCAAGACAAAGAGAAAAGAGCAATGGTTAAATAACAACAGTGGCTCCCGTACCACAGTGAATTACTGGACTTCAGAGCATTTTACTTCTCACTTTTAGGGATTATCATCTGATAACAAATTAAGATGACTTCGAGGCAGAGAAAAGAAAACTCAGATTAAAGCCCAAATGTCCACTGGATTATCAAAACCTTTTTAAAAAAATCATTTTATTGGGGCTCATACAACTCTTATCCATGCACCCATCCACTGTGCCAAGCACATTTGTACATTGTTGCCCTCATCATTCTCAAGAAACCTTTGCTTTCTACTTGAGCCCTTGGCATCAGCTCTGTCAAAACTTTTTGTAGCAGAATTTTGCATCATCAACTAGGTTACTGATTTCCAGGTTTCCCCCAAGATTTCAGAGGGAATAAAGTATTTATAACCTAAAGCAGCTTTTCTTTTAACACTCAATGATTTCCAAAGTCCTGGTGCAAATAGCAATAAACAAAAATTAGCAGCCTGTGACGGATCCGAACTATTCAAAGACCCCTTTCAGACGGGCATCTATGAGCCTCCTTGGACTGGCCTCCGGAGGTCATCTGTGGCTCGTTTGTCCCGGTTGCCTGTTTTCTGTCATTGCCGATGGCTGTTGAGTTGGCCCCAACTCACAGAGACCCCCGGGGACCCCCACGCACAAAAGCAGAAAGCGTTGCCAGGTTCTATGCCATGGTCAGGATCGGGGGTCGGCTCGATCCCATGGGTGTGGCCACATTGCATTTCGATTGCCTCTAACCTAGGGCTCCCCTCCTCGCTCTATATAAACAGCATTCTGCTGTGATCCACAAAGTTCTCACGGGCTGATTTTTAGAACTAGCTCAGCAAGCCTTTCTCTCTAGTCTCAGTCTGGAAGCTATGCTGAACCCTATCTACCATGGCTGACCCCAATGGTGGGGAGATGTTGGTGGCATGGCTTGCAGCAACTAACAACATGCAAGCTTCCACAGTATGGTGTCCTGACAGAGGGTGGTGGGCCGGAGATCACATTACACCTTCCTCTGCAGAGCCACCCACAGATGTTGTCAAAGCATCTCGACTGAAACAATCCTCTGTGGAAACGTTTTAGACAGAGAAAGTGTACTTTTTTCCTGAGACAGGAAGAAAGACTACTAATATTTTTACAATTAAAAAAAAAATCTGAAGTTCTCAAACTTTTTGGTCTTAGACTCTCTTTACATTCTTAGAAACTATTGTGGTACAAATGTAGTTGACACAATTGATGTGTGTATGGATTGTAGTAAGAGTTGTATGAGCCCCCAATAAAATGATTTTTAAAAAATTATTGGACTCCTAAGAGGTTTTTGCTTATATGTGTTACATTTATCAATACTGACCAGAATAGAAATTTTAAATTTTTACACTTGATCTTAGCCAAAAGGTGGAGAAGCAATTGAAATTTTAATTTTTAAATATTAATTTGTCTCAAAAAAAAAGGAAACCTGAAGCAAATGACCAAATAAAACCAAACTCACTGCTATTAAGTCGATGCCAACTCATAGCAACCCTACAGGGCAGGGTGGGACTGCTGAGTTTCCAAGCCTGTAACTCTCATGGGAGTAGAAAGCTCCACATTTTGCCCTCAGAGCGATTGGTGGTTTCAAACTGCTGACCAAGAAATTAGCAGCCCAACTCATAGCCACTAAACCACCAGGACTCCGAAGCAACGGACCACAGAGCCAAAACAGATTAGTGAGCAGATACATATAGCATTATAAGGGTAGCACTCAACCGTACTGCTCAGATCCTGGCAAAATCAGAATGTTTACGTACCTTCTCGGTCAAAAAAACCTTGGAGAGCCTTTTTTGGATCCTTTATATAAAAGGCCTCCCTTTCCTGCTGAAATTCTAGGACAATGGGATTCTCTTCAGCCTCGTCCTCTATAGCATCTTCTCCTAGAGGAAACAGGAAAGAATGAAAAGATAGGTGTTAAATAATAATAGAAGTGTAAAATCTATAGAGGTAATCTGTATGGTTGACTATTATCCTTCGAGCTGCATGAAGAACATTATTAGTGATGCAAAGGGTCTTCAGAGAAGGGGAGAGGGGAAAGCCCACAAGCAAACCACCGGAATCGAGAACATTTCAGGCTTTTGAAGGTGTGTAATAAGTTACTGCTTGTTTTCCATTTATTTCCCCCCTCCATCTACAGTTTAAAGCAACACCATTTACCACTTTTTTCTTTTTTTGGTTAAAATGTAACATCTTTTTTGTTGTTGCTGTTTTTTTAAACATTTTATTAGGGGCTCATACACCTGTTATCACAATCCATACACACATCAATTGTGTAAAGCGCATTTGTACATCATTCTCAAAACATTTTCTCTCCACTTAAACCCCCGACATTAGGTCCTCATTTTTCCCCTCCCTCCCCGCTCCCCCCTCCCTCATGAGCCCTTGATAGTTTATAAATTGGTATTTTGTCATATCTTGCCCTGTCCAATGTCTCCCTTCACCCACTTTTCGGTTGTCTGTCTCCCAGGGAGGAGGTCACATATAGTTCCTTGTAATCAGTTCCCTCTTTCCTACCCATTCTCCCTCTACCCTCCCTGTTTCACCACTCACACCACTGGTCCTGTAGGGCTCATCTGCCCTGGATTCCCTGTATTTTCAGTTCCTATCTGTACCAGTGTACATCCTCTGGTCTAGCCAGCCTTGCAAGGTCGAATTCAAGTCATGGTAGTGGGAGCGGGGAGGAAACATTTAGTAACTAGAGGAGAGTTGTATTTCTCATCGTTGTTACATCGCACCCTGACTGGCTCGTCTCCTCCCTGAGACCCCTCTGCAAGGGGGTTCACTTTTTCTGTAACACAAGCCAACCTGTGCTCCTCAGCCTGGCATTCTCATCACCGCACACTGCGGCTGAACGCCCTGTGCCCAGTCATGTCCCAGTACTACCCCTACCTGCCACGAAGCCGGCCTACTCAGCACCACCTGAAAACCATCCACCCCTGCCTGAACACGATTCACGAGGTTCCTCACAAGTTTCGCTTTGACGGGCTACTTTTCTTCTCCTTCACGGCCTGACTCAAGACCCTTCTGCTTATAAATTGGTAGTTTTGCAAAGATCTGAGTCAGTGCTGCCCAATAGAAATATGAAAGTATATGTCATGTTATGAATACGATATTGTACATTCTTTCTTTTTTACTATACATCTTTCAAAACCAGTGTGTATTTTACACTTACAGCACCTATTTGGATTACCAAATATACTCGAGTATAAGGCAACCCGAATACCAGCCAAGTCACCTAATTTTAGCACAAAAACTGCATAAAGCATGTGCTGAAAAACTCGGCTTATACATGAGTATATGCGGTACCAATATCTCAAGTGCTCGAAAATCATGTGTGGCTAATGTCTACCACAGTAGACAGAAGAGGTTAAAGTCCTCATTGACTGCTCTTCTCTGAAACCTTACTGTAGCATGGTAAAGTAACTTACGCTTTTAGCTTGTTTGGCATCGTTAAGAGAACTGAGGAACAGGAATTGGAAGATTCCTAAGTGAGTGTACAGCAACATTCACAAAGGTAACGACCGAATATGACAATACACCCAAAGCCAGATAAAAAGAAAAGGTACTTTATTGTCCCCCTCTGGGACCACTACGATAACCAGGCAGCCATTTAAAGTTTATCTCCTGCATAGAACTTATTTTCAGGCCATTTCAAATGACTGTGGATCACAGAAACCACCCAGTAACCTAATGTCAGTGGATCTCAGAAAGGGAGGCATGATTTCAATCATTCCTGTTGAACTAGGCTCATAGTTATTTTTTACTGTTTCTTCCTCTCCTTAAAAGTCTCATTGTAACTAGCCTCTATTGAGCCATTTGTTTTAAAAAAGTAAAATGAGCTCCCTGTATGCATACAGAGGAACTGCTCAAATAGACCCTATATATTTTCTTCTTTTGCGCTTTGATTTATTTTTAACCAGTACTTAAATAGTTTCTTAATATGTTTCTTGTCTTTGCAACTGTACATTACCGTCATTGTCTCCCTTTTAATATTCTTATCTCTGAACAGCACATCCTTCAAAATTAGTTTTTTATTTTACATAAAGATACCACTTGCCCTATCTGCTGGAATCATGGAAAGTTATTTAATATGAAATATATATATCACAGTACCGTAAGTAATAAATCTAAAATATTAACCTTTGGCAGCAATTGCAATCTCTTACCCATTCCCCAGGTGCAGCCGATTTCATCATCCTGACTACTCGGATTTCTCTTCGTTTCGGTGGATTCCATATCCTCTTCTTCGTCTGAGTCTTCTCCTAACATCTTCTTTTCCAACATCAGTTGTTGTTGCTTACGTAATTCCTTCAACTGCGTTACCGTTAACTCAGATTCTGCCTCTTGGTCTTCCTCTGGTCCCTGGTGAATCCAGTGAAAACATCCACTTAGATTTTAGAATTATGTTAGTCACTTTCAAAAATAAGGCTATCTGTCTGAGGGGCCGGCCCCAATCCCAAGTACGTGGACACCTGTCCCTCCCCCCAGAAGAATTTATTTCAGTGGACAGCACTGAATCTGCACACTGAATCTGCAGCTCTGGGAGAGGGACATGTCTGATCAGAGCACACGGGAGCAAATGAAGGTGGAGGAAGAGAGATTGGAGCACATCCTGGCCCATCAAGCCTTGAGAACGATATTCCCGCTCAGAGCAGCCAGTCCAGAGAAGATCATACGGCCGGCCCCACTATGAGACATGACATCCCTCACTGACCCATAGCCCTACAGGAGACAACATTGGAGACACAGTGTGAGAATTCTGCCCGATCTGATCCCACCACACCGAGGCAAAACACAAAGGGCATGGAAGAGAAAAGCAAGGGAAACAGAGCAACGAAGTCCCCAGGGAATACCAAAAATAGACTTTGGAGCCAGGGCTTGGTGCCCCATCAGACTCGACCAGAAAACACTCCTAAAGGCCAATAAATAGTCCTTGAACTAGCTACAACCTTTTCTTTTTTATTGTTGTTGTTTTGTCATTGACTTTTTGTTGTTGTTGTTTTGTTTTCTTTTGTGGCTTGGGTTTGCTCTGTCTTGTTTTTGTGCATGTTATTATCTCCGCAGGTCTGTCTAAATAAGATAGGCTGGATGAACAATGTGGAGGAAAAAAACAACAGGACCAACAGTTCCAGGGGGACATGGGAGAGGGGGAGGTGGGGGGAAATGAAGTGGTGTTAACAAACCCAGGGGTAAGGGAACAACAGGTGATCCAAATCGGTGAAGAGGAGGGTGTAGGAGGCCTGGTAGGGCATGATCAAGGGTCATATAACCAAGAGGAATTACTGAAACCCAAATGAAGGCTGAGCATGATAGTGGGATACGAGGAAAGTAAAAGGAAATAGAAGAAAGAGCTAGGAGGTAAAGGGCATTTATAGAGGTCTAAATACAGGCATATACATATGCAAATATATTTATATATAGTAATGGGTAAATATATCTAGGTGCATATATTTATAGGTTTAGTATTAAGGTAGCAGATGGACATTGGGCCTCCACTCAAGTACTCCCTCAATGCAACAATACTTAGTTCTATTAAACTGGCATTCTATAATATTCACTTTCCTGACACAATCGCTAAAGACAAAGTGGGTGCATAAGCAAATATGGTGAAGAAAGCTGATGGTCAGCTATCAAAAGATATAGCGTCTGGGGTCTTAAAGTCTTGAAAGTAAACAAGCCGCCATCAAGCTCAGAATCAACAAAGACCACATGGAAGAAGCACACCAGCCTGTGTGATCACAAGGTGTCGAAGGGATCAGGTATCAGGCATCAAAGAACAAAAAATCATATCATTATGAATGATGGGGAGTTTGGAGTGGAGACCCAAAGCCAATCTGTAGGCAACTGGACATCCCCTTACAGAAGGGTCATGGGGAGGAGATAAGCCAGTCAGGGTGTAATGTAGCAACGATGAGACATACAACTTTCTTCTAGTTCCTAAATGCTTCCTCTCCCTCCCGCCCCCCACCTCCCCACCATCACGATCCCAATTTTACCTTACAAATCTGGCTAGACCAGAGGATGTACACTGGTACAGATAGGAACCGGAAACACAGGGAATCCAGGATGGATGATCCCTTCAGGACCAGTGGTGAGAGTGGTGATACTGGGAGGGTAGAGGGAGAGTGGGTAGGAAAGAGGGAACCGATTACAAGGATCTATATGTGACCTCCTCCCTGGGGGACGGACAACAGAAAAGTGGGTGAAGGGAGACGTCGGACAGGGCAAGATAAGACAAAATAACAATTTATAAATTATCAAGGGCTCATGAGGGAGCGGGGAGCGAGGGGGAAAATGAGGACGTAATGCCGGGGCTTAAGTGGAGAGGAAATGTTTTGAGAATGATGAGGGCAATGAATGTACAAATGCGCTTTACACAATTGATGTATGTATGGATTGTGATAAGAGTTGTATGAGCCCCTAATAAAATGATTAAAAAAAAAATGTTCCTTGGGTTAATGCCCTACCACGGTGGTTCTCAACCTGTGGGTCGCAATCACTTTGGGGGTGTCAAACGACCCTTTCACAGGGGTCGCCCCAATCATCACAGTAGCAAAATTACAGTGATGAAGTAGCAACAAAAATAATTTTATGGTGTGGGGGGGGGGACACCACAACATGAGGAACTTTATTAAAGGGTCGCGACCTTAGGAAAGTTGAGAACCACTGTCCTACCAGGAAGATAGTTTGTAGCTCATACTTAAAAACACTATATGCTTAGTATCCTAAAAGTAATAATGTTAGGAAAATCCGTTTTGACCTGTTTTTTTCCCTTCCACTTTGTGAAATAAGTTCCCACTTGCAATGTCTACTTTACTGTTTGGGGAAATTTGTTTGAACTCGGGTTAGCCAGAGGGTCTGAGATTCCTCCATTTGAGGCTGTGACAAATTATTAAGTTTTATCTAGAGCTGGTTTTTCTAATAAATTGAACCATTTATACCAAAAATTGCTATACACAATTGGGAATAGATTATTAATTTCAAAAAACATTCATGGAAAAATGGAATTAAAAGATGATAAAATTTTTCCATTAACTTTTTAAAAAACCCTAGTACAAACAGCCTTCTCAGATCCAAATCTTGAGAAAGGGCACATTCCTCACTACCTGGAACCCAGATTCAGGACTGTGAAAACATCAGCACCTCAACCTTACTCAGAAGGACCCTTTGGGTGCTCCTAGAGTTCCTCAAACTCACCCAGGATCAACACACCCTATTAGATGGCATCACAGGGTAAAGTCTCTACCTATTGGTAGGAAACAGCTTCTACTTCATTGGAGGTCAAGTCCAAGGCTGAACCAAAAGGATTCTTTGTTCTCTGCTCAGTTTGCCTCCTAACCCAGATTTGGTGAGGCCTTTGTGGGATTAGGATATCTAGTTCCAAACCTTCAATTCACCCCCCCCCCAAAAAAAACACACACCAAAAACGCTTCAACGACTGTCACCGAGTCAATTCAGATTTATCAAACTCTTAATGTAAGCCCATTTTAAATCTAAGATATTTTGTTCACTAACTGAAAATGGATTCCAAACCTCCTATTTGTCAAATTTTCCATATTTTGTTAGAGCAACCTTTCTTAGTTTAGGCATTTCAAAAAGCAAATGGTAATATATTCAGTTTGTAGAGCAATTTTAAGTTTTGGTATTGGAAGAATGATTGCATCCTAGCAAGATTAGGAAGATAATCCAAAGGGGGGTATTGTTAAAAGATAGTGCACCCAATTGAAATCTTAGCTTTTTCATCAACTAGAAATTGGTGAGAAAAACCGTTTGGGGAAGAGAATAAATAATCAGATAAGCCATCACTAGCCTAAAGCATGCATCCTTAATAAATCATCTCACAGTTTGTATTGTAAGTAAACTGATCAAAACTGTAATGCGACTAGAGCATCCCTTCTGCGAAAGGCTCCCTGTTCAAAGGCGGTTTTCCGGCCCAATAAAACCTTTTAACTAGAATGGAGTTCTTGATCAGATTTTTTTTTTTTTTTTTTACCCCCTGCCACAGAAGCGATCGGGTTCTTCCATTTCTGGAGTCTTGATGGGGACAATATCTTTCCTCGGCGCAGGCTTACGGCGCTCGGGCGCCCTGGCCGAGCCTAAGACTGCTACTTTGAGGTTTTCGGATTTACCTGCAGGATAAAGAGCCGGGTGCTGCCTCCCAAGCGAAGAACGTGTCCCACGTGGACCCGACAATAGGTGTGGGGAGGGATGCGGGTTTTGTTGAGGAAAGTGCCGTGGGTGCTTCCCAGATCGTAGAGATAGAAGCCGGGCCCGGGGCCGGGCCCGTCTCCGTCGGCGCCGGGCACCCGGTGCTGCAGCACGGCGTGGTACCTGGACACCGAAGGGTGCTCCAGGCACACGTCGCAGGTCGGCAGCCGCCCGAAAAGGCAGCGGCTCGTGCCTTTCAAGCTGCGGGTGCCAAGGATGGTGCCGCCCTTCAGGGTCTCCAGGCTGTAGGGGACCGTGGCCGGACCGCCCCACGGCGGCTCTTGATAGGCAGGCGCCCGGGCCGGGCCACAGGAGGGAGAAGCGGTTGTCGGGGGTCGCGGGGGCTCCTCCTGTGGACCCCGGGCCCCTCCGCCGTCCGGCCCGGCAGGTAGAACTTGAGGTTCCCCGGAATCCGGGTCCGGCGGCGCCGCGGGTCCCTCTTTCTTCGCTTCCTCGGCATCGCAGGGACTGGTGGCCGAGGCCCTGCCCCGCGCTGCAGCCGGTGGCACGGGCAAGGACGGCTTCTTGAAGTCGCCGTGCAGTTCTAGCGGAGCTGGCGGCTCCGGCGGAGGGGGCCGAGCAGCCATCCTCGACCGGGTGACGTCTCGAACTCCGTCCCCGGGAAACGTCACCCCTCGGTCGCAACGTTCCCCTGGGCGCTTCCTTCTCCCCCAACGTCCTTCGGCTTCTTTGGGAACGAGGGTGGCGTGGCGTCTTCACGAGCCTGAACGTCGGGTGGGTCTGGTAACACGGGAAGGTGGGAGTACGAGAGAAAGGCGTCTTCGGCAGCCGGGGGACATCTTTGCCAGGTGGACCAGCATAGGAATCACTTCCTGTGTGAGAAGAAGCGCTTCCGGAGGCCTTGGCCCAGATCAACAAATCGGCCTTCCGCGCCAGGTGGGTGGCTGTCGTTACGTTTTCGGGGCCTGAATCCAGTGCGACCGTGGAGCGTGACTCCTCCCTGCACGTCGGCAGGTCCACCCCTCCCCGCCTCCCGCTGCCCGGGTCTCGGGGAACCCGAGGACGGTGGTGGGCGCCCCGCCGACCGCGACGGAGGACCCCCCGCGGGGACGTTGCTGGTCGGCTCTTCGCCACCTTTCTCGCTCTTTCCGTGACGGTAGGCGGGCTGTTTCCTCTGCTTCCTTCGTTCTTGTAGTCTTTCCGAAACCGGTTATGGAGGCAGCATGATTGAAGGGTTAGGGGGGTGGGGCGTGTTCCCTCTTTAAGGCTTCGTGCGGCGGAGCAGCGGCGCTAAGGCACCAACGCCAAGTTCGCAAAAAGAGAAGTTCATTGGAAGGTGACACTCGCGGGGAGACGGCCACGCAGGTTGCCTTGATGGTGTTTACTTTGAAATCATAATACTTGAAGATTGTATACAGAAGTTCATTGGAAGGTGACACTCGCGGGGAGACGGCCACGCAGGTTGCCTTGATGGTGTTTACTTTGAAATCATAATACTTGAAGATTGTATACAGAAGTTCATTGGAAGGTGACACTCGCGGGGAGACGGCCACGCAGGTTGCCTTGATGGTGTTTACTTTGAAATCATAATACTTGAAGATTGTATACTTTTTACCCTGGAATTCACTCGGGGTGTGGGGGGATGGAGTCAAATGCAGATGTTTTACATGAACTCACGTTTCAGGATAATCACAGAAAACACTTGGTGACCATGAGCAACTGAACGATAAGGTTCTTTTAAGTCTTCTACCTCAGGGTGTCCCAATTGAGTCACCAGATAACAGGAATTCGCCTTTTGGTCACTAGCAATCTGGTAAATAAAGAGGAGATTCGCAGGCCTTTCCAAGAGATGTCTATGCCCAACCTGTTTGCCTCTGAGCAGTGTAGCAAGTTAGAAACATCCCAAAGGGATCTTGGTGAGGGTCAAAGAAAGGATGCTGTGAATGAGATGACAGTATGTAAAACATAGTGCCAGGAGGCTGTAGCTCAACTCTCCTCCACGGCCACTTGGGCTATGGGGCAGGACACTAAGTCTCAGTTTCCACATCTGAAAAAAATTTGGAATAATATAACAGTAATAATAATAGGATCTACTTAGTAGGGTTATTAGGAGAATTGAATTCGTCTGTAAAGACCAAGCATGGCGTCTAGTAAGCAGGCAGTCAGTGCTACTTGTGACTGAGTGCTGGACACTGTACTAAGACAATGGCTATGAGGAGTAGGGGAGAGAATCTGCTTGTAATTTAGGCCTCCTTAAAATGCCTTCCGTGATGGGGACGTGCACAATGCCACGAGAAGGTCCTGAAAGGAGATAGACTCTGTCACATGAAGTGATGGAAGTGGGTGACTGAAAGTATACTTGGGAATGAAGTCCACCTAGGATGGGAGGGGTAGCAAGACATTTCTGGCAGAGCCCGCACAGCTTAAAGAGTCACTAGTGGAAGGGTGTGCTGGTCACTGATGCCCCAGGAAGCTCCTCGGGGCTTGCGATTGACTACACTTGTGCCTCTAGATCCGCACTGAGGCTTCCTTCAATGTTGAACTGTTCTGTGTCTGTCTCTCCCTCCTCTCAGGACAGGGGGTTTCCATGATCAGTAGTTGCCTCCACACAGAGTGCCCGGCGCTCCGTGAAAGTTTGTTGGACTTGAGACATATAGGAATTGGGAAACGGTGGGTTGAAGCCAGAGTGTGATTTTTGTTTAATGCCAGGCTTTAAAACTCTGACTGGTTTTTCTCCAGTAGGCAGCAAGAAACCATTTTAAAACTTAGTTCTGAGTTTTCAGAATATTAGGGCTAGCAGAAATGTGGGGAATAGGTTAGACACAAGTGGAGCCCGGAAGAAGAGGGCATAGTGAGGAGGCTACAGAGTGCTTCAGAGTCTTTCCTGTGCCCACACGCCCGTTGAAAGCATAAAGCCATCACGTTAGTGCTTCATGAACTTCCCCCCAGGACCGATGAAAAGGTTCCCATGCTTGACAAGCACATCGTGAGAACCACTATTACTCATCTGTAGCCCAAATTCTTTTTCCCCTACTGATCTAGGACAAGTGTGTCAAGGTACTCTATTAAGAAAGACTCCAAGCCTCATAGTTAAAGTACCATCCCTTGCAAAATGCTCAGGATTGGGCATATTGGGAGTTCTAGTGATGAGTTAGAGGTTGATGGAAAACCATCTAGGCACTACCACCCCAGATATCATCCCAGCTACTAATGTACTATTGACACAAAGTCTACCCTTGTTTCAGTGCTGTAGAAGTATCTTTGTGATCATGGTGACGTGGTGACGTGACGGGAAGTTAATCACCTTTCACTTATTTTCTCCAGAGAGAACGGCTGTGGGCCTACAGTTTTGCTGATCCTGACACTCATCACATGATCTTGAACTGCATAATTCTTCTGTCAATAGTTCGTACACTTTTTTTTTAAACCACGAAAGCCTTTGGTTGTCAGAGATTTAAAAACACGACTTTTAGGATATCATTTACATTTAACCCGAAGCGCTTCCTTTCATAGTCCAAAATGTTGAGATACTGGGGTGAGATACCAATCTCATCAAGCCAGACCAATCGAAGTTCCTTTGATTTGCTCCCTCGGGAGTTCCGTCTGGTGGAAGTCCATGACCCACCCCTGCACCAGCCCTCAGCCAACAAGCCCAGGCCTCCTACTGTGCTGGACATCCCCTCTGAGCCCTGCAGCCTCACCATCCATACTATCCAGCTGATCCAGCACAACCGCCGCCTGCGCAACCTCATCGCCACAGCGCAGGCTCAGAGCCAGCAGCAGACAGAAGGCATCAAGACTGAAGAGAGTGAGCCTCTTCCCGCCTGCCCCGGATCCCCTCCTCTCCCTGATGACCTCCTGCCTTTGGATTGCAAGAATCCCAATGCCCCATTCCAGGTCCGGCACAGTGATCCAGAAAGTGACTTTTATCGGTAAGACCAGGCGTATTTTTCTCACCCACTCCACCCCACACTCCTGTGAAGCATGTCATAGCATTGCCATTCTCCTCACGACGTGGCCAAAGTTGCTCAGATAATTAGCGGGAAGTATAAGACTTGAACCCCATCTCCTCCTAAACTGAGAGAATAAATTTCTGTTCATTAAAATAGGGACGAAAAAAAAGGAGGAATGCGGGAAGAATACAGTCTCTACTCCTGGCTCTTCCTTCTTGATGGTCGTAGATCTAATCCCCTCTTAATTTTTGATGCCACACCTTATATAACCCCCTGGAATATAAAGCAAGCCTCATGGCTCTTCCAGTCTATCTGTGGGTTTGAAGGAGCCTGGTACACCATTGTGTATGCACCAATTGCAAAGCTAACTGCAAGATCAGTTGTTCAAACTCACCAGCCACTCCGTGAAAGAAGATTAGGTTATCTGCTCCATGAACCCTGAACCTTTGGAATTAACAGTTTGAGGGGTCCTGGGGACACAGTGGTGAAGTGCTCAGCTTCTAAACAAAAGGTCAGCAATTCAAACCCACCAGCTTGGCTGTCTACGTTCCTAGAGTTACAGCCTCAGAAACCCTAGGGAGCAATTCCCCTCTGCCACCAGGGTCACTATAGTCAAAACCAGCTTGACCACAGTAGGGTTTTTTTGTTTATGAAGTCTTATTAGCTACTTGTGAAGTCTTTTGTGTTTGACCTTGAGACTTGGTCCTGGGAAATGACATGAAAACATGAAAAGTTACTTGGAAATCAAGTATCTTGTTTGTGCTATTTTTATCTACTTATTTCCTTTACTGGAAGGAAGTGAAAGAGAGTAGGAATTTCCAGGTAGATACATTATTAAAGGCTAGTTGAAAGTTGGGAGATGCTGGTGGTGCGCTGGGTTAAGCGATGGGCCACTAACTTACGGTCAGCATTTCAGACTCACCAGCTACTCCTCGGGAGAAAAATGAGACTGCTCCCATAAGGATTTAGTCTCAGAAACCTTATGGAGTAGTTGGCCTCTGTCCAACAGGGTCACCATGAGTCACCGCCAACTGACAGCAGTGGACTGGGGCTTTGCTTCTGAAGTATTTTCTTGGGCAGATTGTGATGTATGCAGTAGTGATTAGGAGCAAACTGGTATATTCTGAAGAACATCGAGTCAGACCCCCACTACTGACTGATAGGTAATACATAAATAACTTTGGCAAGTCAAGCCTTCTGAACCTCAGTCTCCTCCCTGGCCAAATGAATAATAATGGGGACCTTACTTGTTTCACAGACAAGGATTGCCTGAAAACGTTTGGAAGCTGTAAAAGATTTAAATTGCTCTTAGAAAAATGGGGTTGCCTTCTCAGTTCTAAAAATGACACCTTCATGTCATATAAAGGATTTCCTAATTGGAACCTCAAATTTTTGAAAGTCATATATTGCCTAGAATGTGAGGATATGGTTGTGGGTAATTAGATATCAAAGCACCGTGGAGCAGTGTGTGTGAACTCTCTTTGAGTTTTTTATGTTTGCTGCCTATTTGTGTTTGGTATGATTTTCTGCATATGAAATCCAGGATAGGTAAGTCTATAGACAGTCCCTGGATTAATAATTACCCAAGGGCATGGCAGGAGAGCTTGGGGGGAATTGAGCCAGCAGTAAACACAAGGAGAAAATGTTCTGCGATTGATTGTGGTGATGATTGCACAACTCTTAATATGATTGAGCAATCAAATTGTATGATATGTGAAGTCTGTGCCAACAAAACTATTAAAAGAAAAAACCAAGTTATTCGGATCCTGAAAGCGCTCAGAATTGAGTTGATGGAGAAAGAGGGAAACTTACTTGTCGCCTGTTTGGTACTGTTTAAACTTTTTTATGACAGACATGTGTTGCCTTGTGAAGTTTCCTGTGATCAAAGAGCTCAGAAATGTGTCCGTTGGTCAGACAGAATTTCCCTGGACAGCAGGGACTCATTATTAACACTGCCCTGTCTCCACCCGCAGTGGTAAAGGGGAGCCCGTGGCGGAACTCAGCTGGCACTCCTGTCGACAGCTCCTCTACCAGGCAGTGGCCACGATCCTGGCCCACGCGGGCTTCGAGAGCGCTAACGAAAGTGTCCTGGAGACCCTGACTGACGTGGCACACGAGTATTGCCTCAAGTTTACCAAGCTGCTGCGCTTTGCTGCGGATCGGGAGGCCCAGCGGGGGCAGACTCCCTTCCCCGACATTGTGGAGCAGGTGTTCCATGAGGTAGGCGTCGGCAGCGTGCTCGCCCTCCAGAAGTTCTGGCAGCACCGCATCAAGGACTATCACAGTTACATGCTGCAGGTGAGCGGACCCGGTGGAGGGGTCCGGAACACCAGGTCTTGGAACTGCGCGTGCGTGACTCTGGGTTAGGCTGTGGGCGGCTAGCATGCGTTTTTCTTAGCCCTTGTTCCACTGGGCCTCATCCCTATCTTGGCTAGACCCCAGGGAGCACCTTTAGTCAGTGAACGACCCCTTACTACTTCAGGAAGAAGTGACGGACAGGTTTGTGGCATCAGAGAGAAGGCGGCCAGCATGCTTTTACTCAACAAGGAGTGGTTGTGAGTGCCCCTGGGAATCAGGCACTGGGGGAAACCACTCCTGTTGAGGGGGAAGTAAAGACAAGCAGATAAGTAAAGATCAAAACCATTTCAGATCGTGTTTAGTGCTATGAAAAATAAGCAACTACAGTGAGGCAATACTGCCCAGAGTGGGAGGACACTAATTTTGGTTTGAACCAGAAATATCAACTATAGTCAACCCATGTCTGTGTCTCCAAGTCTAAAATATGATTAGGAGTGTTCAGTACACAGCAGAAGAGCCTTTGCTAATCGACCAGGATTTCAGTCATGATACTAGTAAGGTAGATATGCCTAGTGTTGGTTTTTAGTTGAAAACGAATCTTTGATTCACCTCCAACCAGCCTGACTTTTTCACCATATGCACAAACTCTGCCAAACTTTCTTTACATGTCTTTCTCGCTGATAAATGCAAACCCAACACAAGTTCCTTCCACTGGTGATGGTGGTGGTACCGGCCTTTCCCTGGGATGCAGCTTGCTCTTAATATTTCTTGGAAAATGAACTCTTGCTTGCCAACAGATTAGTAAGCAACTCTCTGAAGAGTATGAAAGAATTGTCAATCCTGAGAAGGCGACAGAGGATGCCAAGCCTGTGAAGATCAAGGAGGAGCCTGTGAGTGACATCACCTTCCCAGTCAGCGAGGAGCTGGAGGTAGACCTTGCTTCTGGAGACCAAGCACTACCCATCGGCGTGCTTGGAGCGCAGAGTGAGCGTTTGCCATCCAACCTGGAGGTCGAAGCTTCACCACGGGCTTCAAGTAAGAGAAATCCGCATACTGTAATTGTGCAGGAGCTGTTGTTCCCAGTATTTCATGATTTTTGGAATCACTCTTGGGAAGTAGTTGGACAAAAGTGGGGTGGGCAGGAGAATGGAAGTCCTGAACAGGTTATAGCTTCCTAGACATCCACCTTCTTCTCTTTGTCATTGATGGGAAATCATTAGCACAGCTTTACAGGCGTGCTTTCAAATAATTCCTAGTTCAGATCTGTCATCTTGTTGATTATTGGAGTTGATTTATTTGACCCAACTTCTTTCCTTAATATTCTAAATTGGTGCTTCCTGATGCTTGTACTTCATTTAAGATCGCTGCCAGATAGGTGGAAGAGTATTAATTGCATAAGGATGTTTGTATTGTGGCTCCATGGGTTAGGCTGTGGGCTGCTAACCACAAGATTGGCAGTTCAAATCTATCAGCCACTCCCCCCAGGGAGACAGATGAGGCCTTCTGCTCCATAAAGATCGTCCGTCTCAGAAACCCTAATGAGCAGTTGCCCTGTCCTATAAGGAGACTCCGTCAGAATCTAATCAATGCCAGTGGGTCTGGGTTTGGTTTGTGTAGTGGGACTTCCTTGAGTACCCCGATATAATGGGGGTGATGGGATGAAATAAGGCTATCCAGTGAACTGGAAGTAGAAAGGATGATAGAGTTGGTACCTTGTTGATAGGAAAAGTAGACACTTAAACCAGATTCTTGAATTACCCCAAGCACTGGGATCAGACTGAAAACTGAGCTCAAAGGACCTGTTTGCCTTGGCTGCTGTACTGTCTTCTGCCCCCGTCTTACCACGAGTTGTATGTTTTATTCTTAGGTGCAGAGGTAAATGCTTCCCCACTGTGGAACCTGGCCCATGTGAAGATGGAACCTCAAGAGAGTGAAGAAGGCCCTGTCTCTGGGCACGGTGTGCTGGGCAGCGATGTCTTTGAAGAGCCCATGTCAGGCATGAGTGAAGCAGGCATCCCGCAGAGCCCTGAAGACTCAGACAGCAGCTACGGGTCCCACTCCACCGATAGCCTCATGGGGTCCTCCCCAGTCTTCAACCAGCGCTGCAAGAAGAGGATGAGGAAAATGTGAAAGGGGAGATCTTCTGTGCAAATGTCCTAAAACAAACATTCTATTAACAAGAAGCCTTCGTGAATTCATTAGAATGTCTTCATAAACAATGAAATTCAGTGAGTTTCCCCAACGTCAGTGGTACTGAACTTAACCAAAAAAGGTTGTTTTACTTTTATATTGTTTTTGTAGTTTCCCACAGCAACCAAACCACCTTTCACAAACAAAACACAACACTGACGTGGCTATCTGGAAACCAACGGACTGCCTTGACTCCTGGCCCGACTGACTGGACTTTGCTTCCCTAGAGCCATTTCCCTGTACATCTGAGAAGACTCACGCCTGCTTTGAACTCCCTTGCAGGGGTGTTAAAAGGATTGAGGTGTTTGCTAACATCAAAGATGTTTTTTTCCATGTAACTTGCATTTTTGGTTCAAGTCACTGAGTCTGATGCCTAATAGGAAATAGCTCAACTCTACAGATTATCTCTAGTTGCCTTTTCAAACCGTCTGCCTATGGATTCTCAAAGGTCTGCCGCGACATAGCCTTTCTGCTTACTCAGATCGCTCGTGTCTCCCGCTGTCTTATTCTAGACTGACTCGGTTTACCCTCACCCTGGTTGCCTTTCTATTTCCATTGACTCCGTCTGTGTCTTTTTCTTTTTCATTGGATTCCCCTCCTTGGTGAATGGTGCCAACAGGAGCTGGCCACGCACAGGCTTGAACTTACTGCACCGATTTCTGCGTGGCCGCTGGAGAACGGGGTCCACGCCTCTGCTAGAGTTCTACACATGGTGTTTCTACTACTGAATGAGCAGTTAAAGGCACCTTTCTACTTTGTGAGGATGCTCCAAAATGTTTATGGGGAAATTCAGGATCTTTTCCATCTGTCCACGAACATTTTGAACCCCCTTCGGTTACTCATCCATCGGTGCCTGCCCTACCTGGCAGCTGAGTCTCAAGTAAATGATGTTGGACAGTGGTAAGGAGTCATCGGCAAATGTTTGCTATGCCTTGGTAATAGACACTGGCATGGAGTTTTTGTTTTGGTTTTTTTTGGCTTTCTGATGCTGGATTCAAGTCTTAACAAAATGTAGACTACTTTTTTAAGAGACCAAAAACCAAGGCATATGATTGCCTTAAATGTGCCAGACATTGAGAATAAACAAATTCCACCCTCCCCCCCCAAAAAACTGGTTTTGATTTCGGTAATCTATAGATTTGTTAATCATGTTATCTTACATCCTTAGCTCACTTACCTAAATCTTAATTGTTCCTAGTTTTGTTAACCCTTTATTAGTGAAAGCAGCCAGCAGGCAGGCAGTTCCCAGAAGTAGCTGAGTATGTAATCAGTTAGCAAACATTTACTGAGTACCTGTGTACCTGTTATGTGCAAGGGGCGTGAAAAGGACACCAAGATGATTCACTCTCCGTGTCTGTAGACTCTTATGGCGTTTATAGCATAGAGGAGTTAAATAATTACTCTCTAAGAAGTGTACAAAAGCACTAAAACCAACCATGTTGTTTGTTTTTGCGTGTGTGCGTAAAGGTATCCACTAGGCATAACATGAAAATACTTCATGGTAAAAGAACTTTATTGTTTAGAATATTTAGAGACTAGGCACCACCAGACGATGGAGATTAGGGTCCTTTGATACTCTGAATCTTAGGTCAGGTTATTTTGAGGACTGGTACCTGAGAATCAAGGGCCGGGAATTATGCCAGGGCTGAGTTGCTTATTAGACACTGCTGGGCCCCACACTCAGTTTGGCTTCACAGGACTAGATTAGCAGGGCCTAGCAACGTGCATTTCTCAAAGTTCCCAGGGGATGCCAATGCTCCTGACCCAGGGATGGGTGCTTTTGAGAATCATGGAGCTACAAAGTTCCCAAGTGATTTGGCCTGCCAGCCACCGTTCAGGGGGAAAAAACTACGGCCCCTAGCAATTAAAAGCTTTTGCACTATAGCCCATAATCCAGGATAAAGTGTAGGTCTCTGCTTTTGTAGCCCCCCTGATGGTTTAGGTTTGGCTGCGATCCACACGACGGGCAGTTTGAAACCCCCACCAGCTCCAAGGGAGGAAGACGGCTTTCTGCTCCTGTGAACAGTCTCAGAAACCACAGGGATGGCTTTGAGTCAGCACTGACTCAATGGCAGCGAGTCTGGATCATTTCAGTGCCCCTCAGGAGGTGATACTGCCCAACTAGTCTAGATAGCTTCTAGAACAATGGTTCTTAACCTAGGGGTCATGACCCCTTTAGAGGTCACCACAACATGAGGAACTGTATTAAAGGTTCGTGGCATCAGGATGGTTGAGAACCACTATTCTAGAAAGAAATACTGTTTTAAGATGCCATAAAAAATGTGGAGGTAGGGCAGACCTTACCATGGCTGTGAAACATGGGATATGCACACGACCCAAATCCATGGCATTGAGTAAATCACCAACAAAACTTTCAGAAGTTCAAAATACAATACAAAGAGCCTGGCTGTATGCCTGGTCACTAGATATGTATGCACAAAGGACTGGCAAACATCACCTCCTTCCTTTAGACAGGTTTGGACATGTGGCCTCCCTATTGAACAGGAAACATCTATTTGCAATGATAGAATTTTCCAATCTGAAATCACAACAGGTCAGGTTTTATGAGCTGGAAAACATTTTATCCAAGTCATCAAAGGGTTTCTTCTGCTTTAATCCTGTCTCCAACAGCCCTGCCGTCTTACAATGATCTGCTCAGTGTGAGTCACATTTCAGACCAACAGGGACTGGTCGCCAAGGAGACTCCACTGCTCCTGAGCAAGCTTAAGTTCCCCCTCCCCCTGGCTCCTAACAGAGGAATTCATAGCGTAGGGTCTAGAGCCAGGTGCCAGGAAAGTAAAAGCTACAGATCCAACCAAAAAGACTTGAAGTCAACAGAGTAACAGCACTCTCATCCACATGTCCATCAGCAGCAAAGGTATTTGAATTCTAAATAATAAAACTTGAAGCTGTTTCAGGCCTGAAGGGACATCAGCTTCCAAGAGCATCCAAGGTACATCCTTGCCTAAGGGAAAGTTAAGAGAAAGCAGCGTCTGCCTTCCAGGTGTCGAGGGCCTTCTAGCCCTGGCTTCATCCAAGTCTCAGATGTATTTCTAATAAGGGACCTCTGCGTCCACCCGCGCCAGGGCAGGAGAGTGCCTGCGTACAGAGTTCAAAACCTTGGACTTCAAGAAACTACTGACGAAATATTTCCTCCAGTCTCTCCTATTTGTCGTTTCTCTTCCAGTACTGTGCCATTGACTCTTGCATAAAATTCTGGAACGATGGCTCTTCCCGGCTTTCCTCTGTAACTGCAGGGGAGAGAGGAGTGCTTTGTCAATCTTATCAGACAGGTGGGTTAGGGCTGCTGACACCCTCCCGCCTAAAAAACAAAAGTGCTCACGGCTGGCAAGGAAACATGCAGTTAACCGGGTGGCCCAAAATGTAGTTTCTTTACTCCTGAGCAGGGAGCATGCTTACCTTGGAGGGATCAATAAGGAGAGCCCAGTTCTAAGGTACATTTTCCCAAGAGGAAGGGAAGGTCCTCACAAAGACCTATTTGTGAATACTGACGGCAGCCTTATTCATACTAGCTAAAACCTGGAAATGATCTCAACATCCCGCAACTAGAATGGATAGATTGTAGTACATCCAAATCATGGAATATTACACAATAAACTCAAGCAAAACACCTACTCAAAAACAGCATTTTGCTTCATGATACAAAGTGCACACAAACTTTCTAAAGGATGGGGAAAACACATTTGCTGTGTGAAAGAAGTGAAATGCGAAAAGCCAAGTACTATGTGGTTCTACTTAGATTAAATTCTGGAAAAGGAAAGAGTGTAGGCCCAGGGAGCAGAACAAGCATTGCCGGAGCGGTCTAAAGAGGGAGGAAGGAACTTTCAGGGGTGAGGTTTACGATGTATAAATTATACACCAATAAATCTGACTAAATGAAGTGAATTACATGTCAGCATAGAGGAGTAAGGAAGCACTGCTCCTGGTTGTACGAGGACCGAAATCTGAAGAGTTACTTCAAGAAATGGTGTCTGTTCACAGCCCATAAAACCGTGCCAAGTAGAATACTGATTGGTAGCCAGAGCCCAGGCATCCTCACTGTTACAACCCTTTCTGGCTGATTGGGGACTATTTATTTATAAGAGAGGGCTTCATAAAGTTCATGGAACATGGAAAGAAAAGATAATGTAATTTTTCCAAGAACTTTTAAAAGTCCCCTCATATTCCCAAAACAATAGCAAAACCCACAAACCAGAATCCTGAACTCCTCAAATTGAGTTAGGCTCAAAAGATGAGATGATGTAAGACCAATAAAAGCATATCCGCATGTTAATATGAATCCCTTCCTAGGAAGGCTAGCGACTCTCCGTGTCCTAAGCTTCCTTAGTGCTGTATCCTTTACACTCTCCTCTCTACTGGCTGCATATTTCCTCCCAGGAAGAGGCTTCTGAGCAAATACTGTGGGATCAGCAGTAATTTTGTCTCTGTGAGCCACCTCGGGCTCCTCTCACCTCTGTGATCAATGTCATCGGTGTCACTGTCTGCTTCCTCATCCTCCTCATCCAAGGTTCCTCGGGTCAGGATCAAGTCAGAAGGGTCCATCACAGAAGATACGCTGTCTGGCGAAAACACACTTACGTCATGACTACGTGACTCCACACACCAAAAAGCCATTTTAAATCAGTCACTACCATTATAATTTGACAAGGTAAAAGTGTTTGTGATTAAATACAAGTGCCTGACCACTCTATTCAAGAATGTGAGACATCTGAGCGCCCTTCAGGTGCTGGGGGAGGGAGTGCAATGGGAGGATGAAGGATGGCCTAAGGCAGCGACCTCAAGAGCACAATTCTCCAGGCCCCGGGGCTCTGAAAAAGAGTAACACAGGGCATGCGGACATTGCTTCACTTGGTACTCAACTAAGAATTAAGCATCTCCAATAATTTTTTTTCCTCAAATTCACTGACAATCCCCCAACCCTTAACAGGAGAGTTAGCCAGTTGTGAACATAGCAGGCCCTTTGCAGCAGATTTAATATTTGGTGTATGCATGAATGTTCCCCAGGCCCATGGCACAGAGAAATTGAGATTACAGAGATGCGCAACAAGTATGAACAGGAGGGCTTTGACTTAGCTGGTAAAGCCAGCCAGTTCCCAGCATCTCCTCCTCCCAGTGGTTCTGTGCGTCTCTTCTAGACACAGGAGGACAGCAAACACGTTTGATAGAACTTTCACTCCTTAAAGCAACATGCACAAGGGGGAAAGAAAATGCTAGTGTTAAGACAAAACCAAAGCACATCCAATTTAGATGCAGAGCTGCACTGAGCTGCCACAGCCTTGCACTACTAATCCAAGGGCAGTCCATCAAAATCATGTGGAGATGGACGGAGGCACAAGGTCCACAGATGTATATCAGATGTACGAGTTGCTTATTTTGCTGAAACAAGCTATCTCCAATTTAATAAATCACTGGTCTCCACTGTTGGCTTCAAAGTCACCAAGCGTCAGGACACAGAGAAACGATGAGGAACGGGTCCAGATTACGGAAGACGGTCGGCAAAGGGACGCAGCTCAGAGTCAGGGTTTTCCATTGGGAAAAAATGCTTACAGGTCCAACATGGAAAGAAGGTCTGCGCACTAGACAACTGCAGGAGGGCTTCAAAACGTTGATGGAAAATGGAATGAAAAAGCAAACTTTCAGATGTCACCTCGTTTAAGATAAAATCCTTGTTTAAGAAAACTTTTGGAATGATTCAAGAGCAAAGGTAAGTCATTTTAATGTACTCTTAACTGATTCGGAAACTAGTAACATCTGTGTATATATAAAGTATAAATACATATGTTTATATCTTTATGAGCATAAAAACTTACATATAAATATATACACTTGTAAGTACTATATGTTATTGATGACACAGAAGGATGTGTAAGTGAGGTACAAAGGCCATGTTTAATTAAGGTAACCGGGTGAAGTAGGTAATGTTTAAGGTAACTGGATGAAGTGGTGTATGGCCATGCTTGTACTGTATGCATCACTTCTCTTAAACCTGAAGTTAGGTCAAAATAAACACTAAAAACACAATTAGGATGGTGTTAAAAAATGTTGACAAAAACTTCCTTAAGCCCCAAAGTGCAGGTGTATATATCTTTCAGGTGTTTACACCATTCCAAATCATTTTAAAAAATACATTTTATCATTGCCTCTTTAATATACATACACATACATATGCATGCAATATTCCTGCTACGTGGAGAGAAGTGCACTCTCCTCTCGTTTCTGACACCAAGAGACCCTCCCATACCTGGGGCAGTCCCCGTGTCCAAGGCCACAGCACCCATGTCTTTCCGAAGGCGCTCCAATTGTTCTTTCTGCTGCTGACTCTGGGTATTGGCCTTTGCAGAGAGAGAAAACAGCTGATTTTCCTGGAGCCTCAAGTTCGATGTTAGATTCCTAAGTGAAGTCAGGCAATTACACAGATACTAGAGGACAATTAAGTATTGCAGTGGATCAGGGATACCTGACCTGGGGACCGAGAGAGGGAGTAGTTTGGGCCCAGCCTATATAGCAGAGCTTTCGGCTGAATTAGACGGAGCAGAAACGTAGTGGAAAACTCTGCAGCGAAAGGTCTAAGGCAGCCCAAGGAGGCAGGACCCGGGATCATCTGGGCCAAAAGCGGTGAACTACGCTCTCTCCTGACTAGAAAAACACGGTACAAGCCTTGAAATGGACCTTGGGAAAGGGGTGGGGACACAGAAGCACAAAGAAAAATAGGGTTTTTAAAAATTAAAATACAAGGAGAAAAATAATTAAGGAGCCTTTCTGCATCCAGAACAGTATTGGTATATGTTATAAGTATAAATAATGTAGAAAAACATACAAATTTACACATTTAAATAAGCAATCATCTAAAAGATATGATAGTCCCAACAAATGCATGTCACCAGTAGTGGGGTAGGTGGTCCCGAAACACACATACAGCCCCCTTTCTTACCAGTGATTTCTTCAGCCGTTCATATTCAGGGCGATACTCCCTGGAAAGAAGAATGTTTTCTTAATTCCTTTGCCTAATAATCTATCGTGACTTGCGAACACCTCGTCACTTGTTTTCCTAGCACCCGGACAACGACTACAGGGCTTTCTTGACAATCAGATGTAACAAGTCTTGGTTGGTCACCATGAGTTTACTCTTACAGAAATAACAGCCAACGTACATCAAATCCCACAAAAGAAAAAAAGTGCTGTTTTTTTTGTTAAGCAAGTTCTTTGTTAAACATTTAAGTTCAGAGTGTAGAAAATATGTTTACAGACTGGGATGAATGTGATAATAAAATTAATTTTCAGATGTATTTCTAAAAATAAATAGTATCTCCAAAATAAAAACACAGACACACACACACCAGCCCCCCCACCCCACCCCCCACCAAGGTACTTGTTGCTCACTTATCCGACCCAGAAACAAGCAGAGACAAAATGCTGACAGCTGGGCCTAAAGGTTACCACCAGAGAGAGCGTGGCTGATCACCGGCTCATACTGTTGGGATAAATGCTGAAGATGAGTAAAATAAGCTAGGCCTATTGGCCTCAGGAAGCTGAATATAAAAAGGGGGCTTCAAAAAATTTCTGGGAAGATGGGATTAAAAGACAATGGGATTATTCCACAACTTTTTGCAGTTCCCTTGTAAAATGATGTAGTTTAACATAAGCAACAATGAAATACAGAAAAGAGCCTCCTTTGTGGCCTTGGTCACACCCACACCCATATCTCCCAAAAACCAACCAGCCCTTATTTCATGAGTTAAAAAATCAAGACAATATGTCTGTAAATCACAGTGTAGTTCATAGGATCTTTGCTAAATAAGAAGCCCAAAGCAGCATATTAATAAGCAGCTAATTAAGCTATGGGCCTAAGAGAGTATACAGGTGTTCTGAGAACAATTTCTTTTAAGTAAATGGAATTCAAGGTTAATACCTTGACAATATTAATAACCACTTATTATGAAATGTGCTTACTCCGTGTCAGCAACTATACTAGATGCTTTATATGTATTTTCTCAAATACTCCTCAAAACAATCTTAGCGAAAAGTATATTCCTAGTCTATAAATGAGGAAAACGTGCCATTAAGTCAGAAATCCAGCCTACACCTGTCTGAATCCAAGTCTATGCTCGGTCATAGAAGCATGGCAAACTCAAGCTGCTGCTTGTTTCTGAACGTACACTTTGTTTTGTTTTTTACTGGCATATAATTCATGTACCACACAACTCAATAGTTTGGATACAGTAAAGATTTGTGCAGTCACCACCACAATCGATTCTAGAACATTTTCTTCGTTTTTGTATTAGCTCCCCTTTTCCCCAAACCCCCCCTGCCATAACTCTAAGAAAGGACTAATCTAGCTACTGTCTACAGATTTACTTATCTCGGATTTCATATAAATAAAACCACACCAAACAAACAAACAAAAAATCCCAATAACCAAATGAAACAAAAACCTTCCATCCAAAAGAAAGCACAATAAAAACAAGAACAAATTTAAAATGAGTCAAATGAGAAAGCAAACAGTAAGATGTTAAAATTTACCGTATATACTCGTGTAGAAGCCGAGTTGTTCAGCACATTTTTAATGCAGTTTTTGTGGTAAAATTAGGTGCCTCGGCTGCTATCCGGGTCGGCTTATACTCAAGTATATAGGTAATCTACATCGGCAGCGATTCAATTTCCACTGCACTCTCTCTGAGGACAACGCTATTCACATCCAAGGTCAATGGTCCAAGGAAATTCAATGGAGACTTAACCCCCATGGAGACTCTGCAAATTAATTTTGGCACTCATCCAAAGGATTCTGCAAACCAGGTGCTCAGAATTTAAGCTCCAACACAATTCCCTCCTCTGATCTTTGGTTTTCTTATTTATTACTTTTGTATCACACAGGATGGCGTGCTTCTGCATAGGCTTTTTTGCACACTGATTTGGATGGCCTCTTGTTTTAAATTTAGGTCAAGTTTTTAAGAGCCCCCAATGTTAATCTTTTTGTTTTGTTTTGTTTTTATGTTAATCTTTCTGATGGCTGGACACCATGTGATTTTTTCACCACACTGCACTATGGCATCCGTATCTTCAGTAGTCCTGAGTATTTCATGGGGATAAGTATTGAGCAGAGCCACATCCTAAGAACAGATTGTTCCTGGATTAGGACATAATGGTTAAGTGCAAGCTCTGGTTCTGGCGTGGCCTTGGTGGCTACTGCTACTACCAGCCCATCGCAGGTGCTGCCCCTAGAGCTTGTGGACAAATGTACAGGATCAAGAATTAACATTGTGATGACGAGTGATAAGGAAACTGTTAGCACACTTCTAGGTTTTGATGACTTTGTCAAAATGGTATTGGAAGATGTCACAATTTGAAATCACACCAGAAGGATTACTAAATTAGATCAGGTTTTGCTAAATGGAAATAATATTAAAAATGCTGATTCCTGGAGAAGGACCTAAAAGTATGAGTGGATTTTCTTGACTTCTGCTTGCTTCTATTTTGTTTTATAAAGGCAACAAGATGGATTTTTTTTTCAACTTTTTAAATCTTGAGATTCTATGATGCTAAGTTTTCCATTAAAGGGAAAGGCTTTGAAGATGCAATTTTTATGTAAGGCAATCATGATTATCTTGGGAGAACAAAAAGTACACAGTTTGTTATTTGAGATGAAAATAACGGAGTTTTTAGTTAAAAAAAAAAAGCACAAGCACTATACGTGGTTTTATTGAACACATGTCCATGAATTTACTTATCTATGGATGCTTCCATCTTACAATGATATAGTGGAGTAGAACCCACATAGACTGTCAGGTCCACCACGCTAAACATTTGGCTCTTTACAGAAGTATGACTTGTACTTTTCTTTAAATCATTTTAATGGGGGCTCTGACAACTCTTGTTACAACATCAATTGTATCCGACATATTCGTACATACATTCCATCGTTCTTTTCTAGACATTTACTTTCCATTGAGCCCTTGGGATCAGCTCCTCTTTTTATCCCTCCCTCCCCGCCACCCCCAACCTTTGTGGCCCCTTGATAGATTGTAAATTGTTAATTTTTTTCAAATCTCACACGGACCGCTGTCTCCCCCTCTGGTTTCTGTTGTTCTTCCCCCTGGATGGGGGTGTGTGCCATTCATTGTGACCAGTGTCTCACGACTGTACGCTTAACCACCCAATAATCACCAGCAGACTTTTATAAGTCTACTTAAACCAGTGGTTCTCAACCTTCCTAATGCCATGACCCTTTCATACAGTTCATGTTGTGGTGACCACGCCCCCAACCATAAAATTTATTTTATTGCTACTTCATCACTGTAATCTTGCTACTGCTATGAATTGGGCAACCCCTGTGAAAGGGTCGTTCGATCTCCAAAGGAGTCGTGACCCACAGGTTGAGAACCGCTGACTTAAACTTTTTCAGAAAGATAATGGGAGTTGTTGCCCAGACATGTGGTCAGACCCAATACACACGTGCAGGGCAAATATATCACAGACCCCATAAAAACCTAAGTGCTCTGTCTGGTAAAACTGCTATTCAATCAGAATTCCAAGAATTCCCTCAGGAAGAGGCCCTTTCCCCTCACCTTTCATATTCTTCTGCAGCACTGGTAACCTGCACAAAGAGCTCCTCTAAGCCTGTACCCTGGACAGCAGAGACACCGACCACCTGCCAAAACATGATAAACGCCAGTAAGGAAACAAGGTACTTTTCATTAATGCGTATTACTCAACTCAAATGTCAGAAAACCTTCAGAAGCAGTTTAGACACTTTAGGTACATGACATGTTTAGTCAAAAGACACAGAAATAAGTCTATAGAAAATAAGGTCCTGGAAAGGAAATAATTCGGACTTAACTACTATGGTATCAATCAGGGCTATCGACTCCATACCACACCACTCTATTCTCTGTAAAAATTAGTATCTCAGGCCGTTGCTTAGAAAGATATAACTATCCTTGGATCCCACCCCCATTTACATCCCAAATGTCTTTTAAGTCAAATTTGCACATTAGGCCAGAACAGTTAGGAACATTTCACATCTAACATCAGTTAAATGTTTGGCTTAGTGCATAATTACCTTTCCATGTGTAATAATATTAAAGAAACACTCTACACTGAAACATCTTTAAAATAATAGGGCAATAAAAATGTTTTGATGGACATCGTAAAGTAGCACTCACTTATTATATACCACTAAACATTTAATATAACAGCTTTAGAGGGGCTGATATGTAAGTATGCGTCACACGTTAGGTCCTTCAGCTTGTACGGGAGTTAGATGTCTGTAATGCGGGGACTGTGTGCTCCCTGCCCTTCACACCCACCTGTGCTCACACAAATTCTATCCTTCCTCCAGGGCGTCACTCTAAGGCTACTGCCTCCAAAACATCATTTCGAAGGGGACTTGCCCCTTCACTGCTATCACAGCCAACTTCTGACCTCTCCTACAGGTACTGACCATGCTACTCTCTCAGGCTTCAATTCTGTGTATTCTTTTCTCTCCTAGCCAGATCGTAAGTGCTGAGGAAAGGTGTTGGGCTCATTGGTCTTTTCAATCTCCACACCAAACCAAACTCCACGCTCACTGCTCTCAAGTTGACTCCAACGCCTAAGACCCTTCTAGGAGAGAAGAGGACGGCCCCTGTGCGTCTCCAGGGCTGTAGCTCCTTCTAGGAGCAGAAAGCCTCATCTTTCTCCTGCAGACTGTCTGGTGCTTTCTACTGCTGACCTCGTGGTTCCTAGTCCAACAGCTAACCCACTGCACCACCAGGCCTCCACAGAAACCTCCAGTGTTTAATAAATCGTGCTTGAAAATGTGTCAGAAGATAGCCAACTTCCTCGAATGTTGGTCCAAAGCGAGTTCAAAGGCTAAAAAGGTAATGTAGCGAGACCATCAGTTGTGAGCAGGAGAGAAAGTTTACCCTGAGTGAACTGTAAAACTCATCTAACACGAGGCTCATGGAACGAGTCAGGTTACTGACGTATGTAGTCTCTTGATTCAAGGCATCTTGGAAAGCCTCGAAATCCTGCATCCACTCCACTGCAAAACTGTGATCGATGATGTCAGTCTGTACCAGAGAGAAGACAGTTAGCGGCAATAAGATTAGACAGCCAACAACGGCAAAGGCCGTTTTCTTAATCAGAAGTTTGTATCACATCATCCGTATCTTCCTCTTCCCTCATTCCCTCTTCTCCCATACAAAGCACAGAGAGCTCAAGCTGGCATGTAGCATATAAAATTACAAGGAGGTCTCCGTTCTCTTGCTGGAGGCAGACCCTCAGTGAGCAGTCTAATGACCACAGCCACAGGGGACGCCAGCACATGCCTGGCTCTGGAGTCAAGTGAGCTGTCTCTTGCATCCTAACCATAACCAATGCCAGGGAAGTTTTGTTTTCTGGTTTATTTTTTATCATGTCTTCCAACAGACTAGCAGTTCACTCCCATTCACAGTCATAAGCTAAGAAATAACCGATTACATTAAGGTCAAGAGATTCTCAACTAAACTCATTTTCATTCAACCTGATTGAATTAATTTCCTAGAAATGCCCATGACCTTTCTTGAGCAAATCTTGATCCTGCTTTCCAGGACCTTCTCCACCTAAGTCCTCCAACAACCGGGAGGTGCTAGGGGAAAACTAACTATCGACAGGAGGCAAGCACTTACTTTATTCATGACCACAATGAAAGGCAGCTTGGTTTTATACAAGATGCTGAAAAGCAAACATCAAAACATGATTACTGATAGGACTTACACCCATCTCATCAGAAGGAGCATCCTGAGTACTATCAGAAAAGACCAGCGGGATGGCGTTTGTGTACACAACACTAGTGAGGCAAGCCCTTCCTCTCTTAAGGGCACCGCCATTAATGCAGACCTCTGTGTTTCAGAGTCCCAGATGCATCTTTTTATTCAGTCTCTCCTCACATAAAATTTCATCCTACTTATCATAACACACACAAACAGCATTTAGACCAGGGAGCCCTGTTCTATTGACACTTGGATTCCATTCACCTGGGGGTAGTCACCAGAAGACTCATAGTCATATACCACCTACTTTTGTAACAAGCTACGGAAGATCGGCAATCGCTGTAGAAAACGTCTTTGCCATGGGTGCCTCTTTTCCTTTCTGACCTCCCCAACACAATTACGACATGGAGTGGCAAATCGGAAGAAGTACGCATCTGGGGGTGAGCACTCGGGACTAAGTAGCATTACAGAAGCAAAGGGAGAGACGCGAAAAGGAGGAGACCTATGCCTTGGACTCCCATGCCCACAACCAATTACCTGCACGCATAGAGCATATTGGACATGAAGGTCACTGGGTTGGTATTTCGTGATGTGTCCATTACATAGATGACAACTGTTGGAAATGAGGATGCCTAAAGCCACAAAAATAACCAAAGCCTGGTCAGAGGACTCATGACTTTTCCCCCAAACAACTCCCAATTTCCGGAGTAAGGGAAAGCCACTCTAGGCTGGGAACGCAGAGCTTCTCCGGCCCCCCTCATATGAAATCCCAGGCAGTCTAGTCCTCCAGTTACTTCCCGAAACAGGCCCTGGAGCGCTCACCAGGGCCTCAGTGATGATTGTCCCAGAAGCTGACCAGGTAAATACTTCTATTTGTCCAGGTGTGTCGATCAAGACATATCTGTGTCAAGAAAGATCATTACAAGTGTTAAAACGTGTGCACTGCCGAGAGATATCCCATCACACAAAATACTACGTATGTATCTTACTTGTCTTTTAAATACTACTTATCCGGTAACCTGAGACTGTAAGGGGATCTGCTCACGGCCCAATCCAACCACATTCCTCAAGTGCTGGTCATGCTAGCGGCAGGAGAAGCTCTAAGGGATCAGAGGGGAATGGTGCTACTCCTAGGTGTACACTGCATGAAAATGGATAAGCCAACCAGAATGTAAATCTCTTCACCAACCATCTTGTAAGATCACTGATGACATCTGACAGCTGGTTAAAATGATCAGTTTTGTATTACGTGTAATTTACCACAATTAAAAAAAAATGGAGTAGAACCAAAAGCTCTTCCTTTCAATCAAAAGGCAGCTAACAAAAAAAGATGGCATGAGAAAGCATCACTTGATAACCTTTATCATTATTCAGGCAAAAGCTATCAATGGATGCTAAAACTAGTGTGTAAACGTTTGCAATAATTAAATATATTCTATTATCAAGGACAAGAAAAGCACTCAAAAATTGGGAAAGCAGAGGGCCAGGACTCGGAGAATTCCAAACCCAAAAAGCCTAAGCTAGCAATGGACTATGGAGGCCCTCCTGGCTAAGGTTCCACCACAGGAATCTCAAGCAAAACACTGGAATCCAGATGTGCACTCACTAGTAACTCAGTGGTAGCACACAAAACACACAGTTCACATGCAGCTAAGTGTTTGGCTGGCTCTCTCACTTGAGCAAAAATATTTTCAAGTAATTAATGTGTATCTTCTAGATTAAAATGGTGAATGGAGGTTGCTACTCATTCTTTTAACACCAAATAAAATGATGCTTAAATAGTAAAATAGAGGTGAGGGCAAACCTAGAATAAGCAAAGTTGAAATAAAAAATTACTGAGTCCTATAAACTTCAAAAGAAAGAGAACCTTCTGGAGCAGAGAGACAAATTAAGGATTGTTCCTAAACCCGCCATCAACACCCGGAAGCTTGACTGGTAAGCTTACAAATTGCCAAGAATTCTAACAAATGTCCCCAAGTCTGGAAATGGACAACTGAGCATATGGAGCCGGTTCGCCGGCAGCCATGAGGAAACCAGCTCAAGCCACAGGGAGGCTGGCTCTCCTCTCAGGAAACTGTGCCCGCCCCAACATGATTGTAGCACACCTCACACAATCCGAAGGGAAAAAGCAAAATCAAGGTTTTTCAATAAAGACTGCCAACCCTATACTGAGCCCTCCTTTTCCCCTGGCCATTCCCTCAGGTCGCAGACAAACATAATTTGCCTGAAATATCTGTGCCTTGAAATGCAATCCAAGCAGGACTTCGGAGGTGAAGACGCATACTAAACCACAGGAAACGGAATGTCTAGGCAGTTCTTGCAGGTCCTGGGACTTCACTCAACAGGGCCCTCTCTCCCTTCCCTCACCCTAGTCCCAGACCTGTACTGCCGAAATGCTCAATAATACATATTAACATAGATTAAAAAGTGAAAAAGCAAGGAAGTTACAGCAATTAGGGAGAATCCAAAAGATATGAAAGCCGGATAAATAAAACCCACAGTAGAGGTTAACTGAAGTCCCTGAAAAAGCTTTTCAAGATAAAACACAAGAAAACTCCTGAAATGAAGAACTAAATCTGATTGAAAGAGTATATAATGCTCCTAGATGTTTTCATATGGCATGTTCAACAGTGAGGCAAAAGACAGGCATGTATAGATCAAATGAGTACACTTCAACAATAAAACGGAAAAAGCTTGAGAAAGAAAATGTGACTTTTATGTCCGGCTCTAATATCACACACAAAATTCAAAATATAGGTAGATATTTGGAACTCAGGGGAAACCACGATTGAATTTCCTGTCATTGAAATCCTACCAACTAAGAGATAACTTAAAATATAGACAGTAGAAATAAAAACGTGGTTTTAAAAAACATGAGCACTGAACTCATTTGATTGTGGGGGCAGAGTAAAATGAAAAAATACTAAACACGCTTTGGGCTGCGGTCTGCATGGTTGGCAGTTCAAAACCACCAGCAGCCCCGAGGGAGAAAGTTCTGCTCCTGTCAACAGTCGCAGTCTCAGAAACTCATAGGAGTCACTGTGTCCTGACGGACTCGATGGCAGCGAGTTTGGGGATAATTAACAGCGCATCGGCCTGCCAATTGGTTATCAGCTAGAGCTAACCAAAAACCTTAAAAAGAAAAAGTAGGAATGATGTGTATCCAGATTTTTTTTTTTAAATAAAAAACCAAGTAACTACAACTGTTGGCAAGAATAGGAAGAAACTGAAACCCTTATACATTCCAGCAGTTCCCCAGCTAAACACCAAATTACTGTAGAATCCAGCAATTCCACTTCTAAATACATACACAAGAGCACTGAACCATACTTGCACGCAAAAATTTGCATAAGGATTTTCATGGCAACATTATTCACATGAAACAAAAATTCAAAACAATACAAATGTCCATCAGCTGATGAAAGATAAACAAAGTGTGGTATATCCAAACAAAGACTATTATTCAGCTGTAAAAGTACGTCTTGTTCCAGGCAACATCAAGAATGAACCTTGACTACATTGGGCTCCGTGAAAGAAGCCAAGTACAAAAGCCCACATGTGGTATGACGATGGTATTTACATGAACGATGGGTATTTACATGAGATGTCCCCAACAGATAAATCCATAGAGCAGAAAGTGATTGTCAGCGGCTGGAATAGGGGGTGACGGCTAATGATAGGTGGGCTTCTTTTGTCAAGGAATGACAACTGATAATTTTGTGACTAAAAACCACTAAATTGTATACTTTAAAAGAGTAAGCTTTATGGTATGTTAACAATACCTCAGTAAAGGCTTTATTTAAAAAACAAAGTATCTCTTGTTATGTCCTGTATTTACAAAATGCATCCAATTCAATTTTCTACCGATAAATGTAGGCATAGAAATATGGAAGGCTAGTCACAAAATATAAACGAGTTATTTCTTGTAGGAATCAGAATGACTGTTTCTTCATTTAATCATTGTGCCTGGTTTGAATTCTTTAAAATGAGCAGATACAAAAAGGCTTCAAAAAGTTTATGGATACTATGAGGCTACCATTCAGCGTGCCCCGCCATAAGATTAGCACTATCTTGGAGAAATCTAAAGTTTCAAATATTCCTGAAATATCTTTCACTTTATACTTTTTATTTTAAGGACTATTATCTCTTATTTAAATAGACTTGCTTCCTTGAAAGAGGAATTTGATTCTTTCTGAATGCAGATCATTTCTGGATGAGCTCTGGTGGTAATGGGGGCTGGCACTAGGCTGTTGGCTGTACGCTCAGTGGTTCCGGCTCAACAACAGTTCTACAAGAGAGGGATGGGGCCGTCGGCTTCTGCAGGGATTTACAGTTTTGAAAACCCTCTATGGGTTCTCTATGCATCGCAATTGACTCCATGGCAGTGTGTTCAGCCCATTACAAAAATATCAAGCCTCAAGATCTCCAAAATGAAGAATAACAATTGACAAAACAGAAGAGAAAGCTTTATGTAAAGAATTGCAGACATTTGCTAAATGATATTGTCAAAAATTCCCTGAGAGAGAAATTTATGGAAAAGTGGAATTAAAAGATAACTGAAATTTTCCACCAACTTTTTGATGCCCTCTCATGTCTTTTAGAAAAACAATGAATTTTCTTTCTTAGAAAATAAAAACAGATTAAGAATCTGGCATTGGGTAACTGCAGGTAATGACAATAGGAAGTATTGTTTTATATTTTGATAATGTTTTAGTTAAAAAAAATTATGATTCCCTGAATCTTATAAACTATACCCATGTAAAGAAGGGTTGGAAAGGTGTAAAAGAAACTTTAGGGATGGGATAATAGTCGATTTAGCTCTACAGGTTCAAATCTCAATGATTTATTTTATTTTTCCTCTTCTAAATATTTCATCGCAATCTTAACTCTTTCAGGGTTTGATAGTTTCCTAGAATCTTTCCCAACCCCTACTAATACGCCAATTATAGAAATTCAAAATAGGTGTTAAACTGTAACTACTCACTTGTACATGTTCTGGGCCTTCTCAATAAATTTCATCACCTAAGAGGAAAATAATACAAGATCAGGTGCCAATGCAAAATCACAGAGCCTTCTCGGGTGGAGTACCTGCTGAGTGCCAGTGTCCTTAACCTTAGTGCATCAATATACTCACTGATGTACAGAAACACATCCACGTCAGCACACTGCCACATCACCCTGTGCACAGCACAAGGACACGAAAGGCTGGAGAGTGACTCTATCATTGTCAAGTTCTGTCTTGGCACATCCATAAAATGCTACTATCCTGACTCATTAAATCACATCAGGGTAGTATATGAATGGTTATTCTGACAAGGATGACAAATACCTGCCACAAGTGAAAATCTCCATTATCGTTCCGCCCCATGCCCCATTTCCATTCCAAGTGGCCCATCCCACTCCCGTCCGTCCCACCATTCCATCCACAAACACAAAAAGCCATTAAGACCTAAGAACCTAGGTATCTTGGTTTTGTGTTTTTTTGTTTGTTTGTTTGTTTACATTCCAGAAAATTTTGTAACTTTTAATTTATTTTTCCTAAAACTGGTTAAGGGAAACCATTCATTCAATTCTGGCAGACTCCAATTCAGCGTAGTGACAAACAACTGTAAAAGGTATCAACTGTTCCTTATGCAACGCCTACGCCAAAGAAACCAAATTCAAGGGCAGTAATGGCTGCAAAAGAATTTGATTTATGCCTTTTTTGACACCACATTCACAAGTTTCCGAAAGTGAATGGGCAACACAAAGGCCTGTTTTGTGTTTTATCAGCTATCACAAATATTGACTATGAAACACTTCACAGCACTGATCTTCTCGTAGCCTACTTACTTACCTACCAAAGCATTTCCTTATTTTCTTCAATTATGTTCTAGTGTATTGCTCTTTCTCAAGAGAGTTCAAGCCAAGGCATTTTAAAAATCACAAGTTTTGTCCACATGAGTTTAAGTCAGACATACCTGATCGAATCTGGTAGCAAAGAGATTGAGTGAGGTCACTATGCCACCATTGGGCCCAAGTCCATATCTAGATATTAGGTTGAGGATTCAAATGGTTTACAGATTATCAACTGATATCTAGGATATCAATCACACAAACAGCATATGGCGGAGATATTCCATTCAGGGGTATTGGCAACCCAATCCTTGACAAGTACAGATCACATAGCCTTTACAGGGAACATCCACTATCAATGCCTTCTTCATTCATTTATCATTTTCAAGGATGGCTAGGTAAAAATCAAAGAAACTAACCTGACCCAACTATAATAAACAGATTTATCAACGATAGTCTGCTGACATTAACCACTGAGACACTCTAATTGTATTCCTTGCTGATCCTCACTAATTAAACAACCTACATTTAATTTGTTCATGACCTGAGGGACATATAAATTGCACTTAATGTTTGTGCTCCTCTGGTATCTTGGGATACCAGTGTCCGACCTAAACAAGGGTTCTTCAAACAGTTCAAGGAAAATCTAATTATAAAAAACCTATCCATGGATTTAAAAAATAGTAATTTATACCAAAATCAACTTGTGCTAACTTGTTTAACATGCCTGAGGTACTAAAAAGGCTAAGACATCAGTCTGAAAAGAGCCATCAGAACAAGATGAATTCTGCTAAAATTGAAGGGGGCACACCAAATTTACTATGAAGCTTAGGTGAAAGAACGGTGAAATAATTGAGGCTTGGAAAAAGTGTATAGGGACAATGCCCCAGAGAATCCATTTACAAGCGGCTAACTTGTTTTAAAAAGGGACAAATGAAACCCACAGCGGCAGACCATCCCCATCAATGAGCAAGTCAACAGTCTTGTCCGTGCCCTACGTGCAGAGGACCAACAAAAAACAGCAGATACAACTGCCACCCAAACACCTCAATTCGTTCAGCTTACACGATTCTAACGGAAAAATTAAAGTGGAACAAACATTTTGTTCCATGGATGGCAAAGCTGTTGTGCCCGGATCAGGTGCAGAGAAGGGCGGAGCTCCCCACGCCCCCAAAATGTAAACAGAGATCCAAATCCTGAAGGATGTCTTCGTTGAACTGCTGATAGACCACGAAACATGGCTTTACCAGGACAATTCTGAAGCCAACAGGCAGTCAAAGTCCTGACTCCCACAAGGTGGAAGTGGTACAGCCAAAGCAAAAGCTGACTAGGTCGTGGCCATGGTTTTAAGGGACGCGCAACAAAGCATTATGCTTCTTGACTTTCAGGATTACCAAAGAATGGCAACACCTACTTTTGAGAGTCGTTTTTAAAAAGTTAGCCAAAGATGCAGTCCCCAAAAAATGCCTTGAAAAGCTTCCCCAAAGTCCTGGCTTTGTAAGTCAGTTTGTCGTCTATTCTGGAAAGGCATAGCCAATGACTAGCCCCTCTCTTAGTGAGTGCTGTACTTCGACTGGGTCATTCACTCAACGATTCTCACACTCTGCCTTCAACAATTTCTTAACATCCCAATACTTGATTAAGACGGCCAAAATCCTCACAACCAGACCAATAGGTAACAACATGATAAATGGAGAAAAGATTTAAGTTCCCAAGGATTTTGTTTTGCTTGGATCCACGATTAAAGCTCATGGAAGCAGCAACCAAGGGATCAAATGACGCATTGCACTGGGAAAATCTGCTGCACAAGACCTCTGTAGAGGGTTACTTTGAGGACTGCGGTGTGCCTGGCCCAAGCCATGATCTTTTCAATCTCCTCATATGCTTGAGAAAGTTGGGACACTGAATAAAGGAAACTGAAGAATGAATGTCTTGGAGCTGTGAAGACTATTGAAAAATACAATGAACTACCAAAAGGACAAGCAAATCTTGGAAGACGTCCTGCCAGAGTGCTCTGTAGAGGCGAGGATGGCAAGACTTCATCTGACACACTGTGGACTTGTGCTCAGAGACCAGTCCCTGGAGAAGGACGTCATACTTGGTGAAGAAGAGGGACATCACAAAAAGGAAGGCCCTCAATGAGACGGATTGACACAGCGGCCGCAACAGTGGGCCCAGGCATAGGAACAACTGTGGGCTGGTGTAGTGCTTCGTTGTTGTGCAGAGGGTCACTATGGGTCAGAACCGACTCAACAGCACCTAAGGCCACTTGATGAAAAACCTGAAGAGGAGAGGACTGTGGGCTAGGCAGTGACGTGAGCAAACAGAAAGAGGTTGCTAGAAATGATGAAAAGGATAAAATAGAGCAGAAAAAAAATCATGCTTTGTACGAAAGGATGTGTTTCAGCAGTAAAGCAGCAGGCAACACTGCACGACCCAAAGATCACCACCACCGCTGTCAAAAGAGCGAACAGAGAGCTCCTCCTTGGCTACCCTTTGCCCAACAGCAGTTGAGAACACAACTCGATTACGGGAGGGAGGGACAGAGTTCCCCAGAGGTACAGAAGGCGAGCAAACCAGAAGGCCCTCTCTCAAACAGTGGCCATCATTGAGTCCTCATCGACCTTGGCATTGTAAACACTGCCCAATTTCCCCTCAGGCTTGCTCTCATTTGCTTTCTGTGGGCCAGGAAACCACAGGCAGTGTCAGGTCCTTCTTTCTTGTAAAGAAGCCAGGAGTAAGCCGAAAGGCAAAGGGCTCAAAGGCGTCATAAACCTTTACCTCGGGATCTAGAGTGATGCAAAGAATGCAGGGCGAAGCAATCTCCAACCACAATCGTGTAGCAAGGTGCCTTTTTGTGGTTACTAAATAAACTAACACGGCCACAATAAAATAAGTTTTTCATGCCTCATTTCACCAATCCCACCAACCAAGTCCAGTGGAACACCCATTCCACATAGTTCTTAAAATCCATTAAAATGTAAAAAGCAAAGGAATTTCACTGCTGGGGGTGGGGAGGAATGCTATCAATAAAAACTTCCTAACAACAACAAAAATAATTTAGTCATGAATTAACAATTCCTTGTGGTGCTGCAAGTTTTGAACTGTAACTGCAGTCGACAGTTCCAAACTACTAGGTACTCCGCAAGAAAAAGATGAGGCTATTACTCCCGTAACACCAAACTCGCTGACGTCAAACCAATCCTGAATCATAGACCCCCGGTGGGTTTCCAAGATTGTCACTGTTTTCGGTAACAGAAAGCCGTCTGCTGGTGGTTTTGAACTGCTGACCATGGGAACTGCAGCCCAAAGTGGAACCACTCACTATACCACCATGTCTCTTGGATCGCTCCCATAAAGATGTACAGAATGGGAACCACACTATAGGGTCGCTTTAGTCAGAATCAAGATCCTGGTAGTGGGTGAATTCTGTGGCTCGAAGCCTAGGGGGCAGAAGGGAGTCAGAATCATATGGGTGGCCCACAATCACAGCAGCCTAGACTTACCTACCAACAAGTACTAAGAATTAATCCCCCCAAAGTTGACTCATATCTGAATTCCCAATATGAAGTCGTGGTGGGCCACTAAGCAAGCATGCCCTTCAAGGCCATGCCGCCAAGCCGGCTTTCTCTTTCTCAACCCTCGAATTACACCAGTTGGTAGTCTGGGAAAATGGTAGGAAAACTGAAACCACAAGCTGGAATAGTATTTCTGATCACCCACAAGGCCTAATCTCCCCTAATGAAATCACTTTAAAAGAATCAAACACTTGGTTTTGCAAAAACACGCTTTCAAATTAAAAAAATAAAATAAAATGCCCGGATATCAATGAGCCAGGAATGAGTCCACACTGCAGCCGATATGGAAAAGGATACTGTTTCATTACTTCTTTATACTTCACTGTGTCACAAATATCTAAAAGAAAAAAAGAAATTAGGAAGCCATATAAAAAACAACAATATAATTTCAGACCTTTAATGTCTTAAGTCAATAAGCCCATCAAACCATCTCTATTTCCTCAGAGGAAGTTTTCTCAGGAGTATGAGTTACTTTTAATCTGTCCTTAATTTTGATCTCTTCTAAAGCTTAGCGCATTGAAATGTGTATGAAGCAAGACCCTGAGAATGACCCAAAGGACAACGAGCACCTGGTCAGCATTGTCCCCACCAACCAGAACCTGAAACTAGCCACGTAGGCATCCATCAGATTTCTTTTCTACCATTTTTTTCTTCACCTGCACACTGGTTTTCTCACTTACAAAGGGTACCTGCCAACTAACCCATGAAAAATGTCAGGACAGGAACTCTCAAGTTATATGGCAGATACCTGCTATAAGGTGAAAAGTTTTGTGTTAATTTAAATATTTTATCATGTCTCACCCCACCAATCCAATCATGCAAGTCAAGTGGAAAACATGTCCTATATGGTATTGCTCAAAATCTGCTATTATCTAAAATGTAAAAAACACACTAATTCTGCATGCATTCTACTGCTGGGGGGGGGGGATGCTATCAACAACAAGGGAGCTAAATCAAGAAGAAAGTTTACTTACTACTAAGTGACAGGCGTTGTTTTTAAAAAGAAACTAATTGACCCAGTAATATCTAACTAAACCTATTCACTTATTCACCTGTAGATCTCCACAAGGTCAGCAGTTGGAAACCACCAGCTGTTCCATGGGAGAAAACTGAGACTTTTTACTCCAATAGAATTCTACCATTTAGGTGAGAAAATGAGCATTTCCCCCACCAAATTATATTTGCTTTTTAATACAGAGTGTCCTTTTCATTAATATGTCAGAGCTCAAGAAAGTTTAGCAGGATTAGGAGGTGAGGGGTCAGATTAGCAAGCAGTGAGGGCCTGGAAATCAGGAAGCCTACATCTTAACAAAGATCATGACACAGGATCACATCCACTCTTCATCTTTTTTGTAGTTAAAGACTCCTCTTGGGATATGGTAAAACTGGGAACCTCTCACAGAACAACATTCTCCCATCTAACTTTGGGGATCAGAGCAAGATCCCTAAAGATCAGTGACTGGAACACAGCATGAGGACTCAATACTCTGGCTCAACTCGAGAAAGGAACAAAAAGGTTTGTCTACAATTAAGAGTCAACTGAAGGGCTCACAGTGCAAAAGTGGGTGACTTTCTGTCACTTGTTCACCTAAATAACTGTAGGCTAGCACCCTAGAGCCAGAGAGAGCGGAGAGATGAGGGTGAGTGGTAAGGAGCCAAAGAAATGTTGGAAAAGGAAACCAAAAACCATTGCCACCTGACTCACAGCAACCCCCTAGGACAGAGTAGAACTGCTCTGCAGGCTTTCTGAGGCTGTAAATCTTTCTGAGAGCAACACAGTCTCATCTTTCTCCCCTGGAAGAGCTGGGGGAGTGGGAGTAGCTGGACATTGAACAGCCAACCCTGTGGTTAGCAGCCCAACGTCTAAACCCAGTGACATCACCTTAGGGATGGTATAAGTAATCAAAAGAAAAATGTGAATATAGAGGAAGCCTGAATACGGGCTTCTAATATACCCAAGAGAAATAAAACTAGATCAAGGGGGTAAAAAATGAAGGCCCTGAAAGTTGATGCTATCCGTTCCCTCTGGCGGGGTTCACTCACCTATATTGGCCGGGAAGGGCACATCATGTACAGCGGGGTCCAGGTTGATCACGTAAGGTGGCGAGTTTTGGCTATGCAAGTGTCCCGTGAGCCTCTGCGGAAACAGGAGGAGGTGAATGGAGAGAGGAGGGCAGTAAGGAGTCGAAAGAGAACGCCCATGTGTTTACTGCCTAGGAGTGAAGGATTCTGCGTCTTTATCTCAAACCACCATGCTCGCGATTCCTCCAACATGCAGCTCGTGGTTAAAACGCTACTTTATTACTCATCTAAGAGAACATCTTCTACTACTCTCTCGCGAGTCTTTACTCGTTTGGGGGTAGGAAGGGAGGTGTAGGAAGGATGAAGGCCTGTCTCCCTCATTAAAAGATGAGCACTGGTCCATGAAAGCAGGAAGCTGGTCAACCAGGTTTGCAGTGTCCTCGGTGCCTAGAGAAGGCGCAAAACGAATCCCTTAATCAAGCTTCCCCAAAAGCCTGTGTTCTTACACTGTCTTTGCTGCTGACGTTTGCTGGAAATCCCTGCCTTTTAGAAATTCGCTATTTCATCAGTACGGCAATTCGGTACAGTGTGGTAAGTTTGATGAAGCACTCACGGAGCATGGAAGGTTCACAGAACCAGAGTCCTAACTGACCCAGACTAGAGGCCTGGTAGCATAGTGGTTAAGTGTTGGGCCGCTAGCTGTAAGGTAGAAAGTTTGAAACCACCAGCTGCTCCCCAGGAAGGGGGAAGCTTTCTACTCCCACAAACCATCAGTCTCAGAAACGCACAAGGGTCGTTCAACCCTGTCTTGACTCTTGTAGGGTCGCTAGGAGTCAGAATTGACCCCCTGGTAGTTGAGTCTGAGTGAGGGTCCGAGAAGACTTTGCGAGGATGCCACCAAAGCTGACGGGACCCTCCCCCAAACCACGCGTTGATACCCTCCCACTGCCGACTTCCCCCCTTTCCCTTAGGCCTGCTCGCCCCCATCTCTCACGTGCGTTATTTTGCAGCCCCCACCCCACTCTCCTGGTTACCTGCACAAAGGTGGTTTTTCCAGATCCCGCCATTCCCAGCACCAACAGACACACCGGGAGCTGAGAACCCCCCGAAGCCTGCGGCTCCGACGAAGCCATGGGAGCCGCCATCTTTCCTCGAGATCCGCCCACTCTACGCTCGAGGCGCCGGGCGGCTAGCGAGACGTCCGTGACGCTCGGGGCGGCAACGCTCGCGGAGCCGAGGGGGCGGGGCACGGAGAGGACGAGGAGGCGGGACACGGGGGGGAGAGCGAGGCCGAGGGGGCGGGGCACGGAGAGGGCGAGGAGGCGGGGCCGGGTGACGCGCCGGAACGTCTCTGCGTCCCAACTCGACTCCGGGGCCAACTAAAGGCAGGGGCGGTGCAATGGTTCCGCAGGCAACCGAGCGCGCAACCGAGCGCAAGGCGGAAGGATGCGGGGAAGGGGCGGACCTCGTCAGGGGGTGGGGCTTGGAAAGGAAACGCCCTGGTCAACCCTGAGGGCGGAAACGATTCGCGATCCCTAAAGCAAGGCTTTGCCCGCTGAAAGAAAATGAGTAGAGCGGGGCTCCCTGTCTTCCCCCGAGGAACTGGCAGCGGAGCCGCTAGGGCTTCCCCTGCAGCCGAGGAGGTTAAACCGGTTAGGACCAGAAAGGTCGGGGGTGAGCCAGGGCACTGCCCCCACGTTTGCTGGGCAGCGCCGAGACCCGCTGAGCCCGAAACGGACCAACAGCCTCACGCACTTGGACTCGGCTCCCGTGTGTCGCTGGCCCTGGAGCCTAGCGCTCAGGATTCAGCCACTACCTGTAGTGAGCTGCACAACCACCATCACCTGGAGGATGAACGCTTTGACCCCTGGAGCACGTGAGTTGAGGAGCGGAAAAAAGTTTTCTCCCCTAGGAGCGCCCTCGGAGACTCCGACACCTGATGAAAAAGCCCAGCTCAAGCTTGTTCTCCACCGGTCAGTCTGTGGCCTCTTGTAGCCGATCAGGGTTTTGTACCCTGGCTCTGTTAGCGGTGTAAGCCTTGAGGGGGTCACTTAAGTTCTCCGCACCAGTTTTCTCTTCTTTCAAATAGTTGTTAAGTGCCATTGACTCAGTTCTGACCCGTGGCGGCGTTACGCACAACAGAACGAAAGAGGGCCTGACCCTGCGCTGTCCATACAATTGTTCCTAGGCTTAAGCCCTTTGCTGCAGCCCGTTAAGGGTTTTTGCTGCCACTCCACTTTACCAAGCATGGTGTCCGTCTCCAGAGACCGATCTCTCCTGGCCGCATAGTGAAATAGTAGTGAGCACTAAATTGTAAACTCCAGCCGCTTTTGCCCTTCTGTAAATTCCCTTGGCACTCACATTGTTGTCAATTGCCCTGAGTGCATCCGATTGGTGCAAGGCTGTGACATTTCAGAAGCAGGACCCCCCCCCCCCCAGGCCTTTTGAACTGCCCTTTCCATTAGTCCTAGAGCACAACCCAAGAGCTCCAGGAACATCGGAAGGGAGTTTCAAAACGTTCAAGGAAAATGGAATCAAAAGATACTGGCATGTTTTCATATACCTATATATTAAGTGCTTAAAAATAGTTTCTTGTGTGAATCAGTGTGCCAAGTGTGCACTTGTTACTTGCTAAATTTTCATTCAGAATCACTGGGAGAATGTATCCTTTGTTCTTCCTTCAGGTTTACTGAGGGTCCTGGAACATCCCTTCCACCATATCTTAATCTAATACATACTCTTTTCAACCCAACGGAACTATCAAAGACTGAACTGTTTAAAGAAAAGGCAATGAGGGAAGTGATGGAACTGAACAAGCAAATAAAACAAATTAAAATCCAGGTGAATCAGCTAAAGGAAGACAGCTCGCTGCTCTGGATGGAAAAGCAACTTGTCCAGGCTGAACACAAATTACTTGTGGAATGCCTGGCCAACAAAATTGAAGAGTCTGAAGGACAACCTGTGAGGCTATGGAACAACTATGTACAAAAGAGTGAGGAGATTGAACTACGGAGGCAGGAATCAGCCGCCAGATATGCAAAACAAGCTTCAACCCTTAAAGCAGAGTTCTTGCAGAAACAAAAGACCCAAGCCCTTCTGAAGCACCAGCTGCAGGCACTGGAGAGCATTTTAACATTAAAAGAAAAACAGGATGTGGAATTAGAGACCTTGCAGAAGGAGAAAAGGAAGGTCCAAGATGAGGGCGCTGCAAAGGCACAGGAAATACGTGTGCAGTTACTTGAGGAAAAAACACGTTTGGAGAAACAACTAAGTGAGCCAGACTTGAGCCAGGTAGGAAAGAGGAAAAGATGGGAGCTTAATAAGAAGAGCCAGACCTTGGCACTGTCAGCAAAACAGTATACTCTCGAGTTCTACCGTAGCATCAGCAGAGAGAAACAACAGCTACAGATGGATCTACAACAACTAGTTCAGCAATCTCAAGAAATGGTGGCTTGTCAACGCCACTTAAAAAACAGGAGGCAACAACTGCAGCAGGAACAGTGGTACCTGGAGGGTGTAATCCGGGGAAAGCAACGAATGCAAGCAAGATCTAACTGGTGCCTAAAACGACAAGGTGGTCTGAAGACCTCATCAGCCCCTCCACTAGACACCAAATCAAGGGTTAACCCCAAGGAATCTTTAAAGTGACAGATTACATAAGCATTGTGCACGTAGTTTGGGGATCTAAAAACCCAGGAGTGTTTTAGACCTCAGATTGCTATGGGAAGTTGTCCTTCATGATGTGTAATTAGGAAGGATTGTATGTTTTCTTTCAGCAGCTTCATATTTCTTCCCAAGCCAGTTCTTCCTCTAACTCTCAGCTGGTAATTATTATGTATGTCCTACACACATCCAGTTTATATGACCCTACCTGACTACCCAGCCATTTCCCCAATACTCCATACTTTAAACTCTCTCAAGAAAATCAACTTGCAATGAGAGAAAAAAGTTGTGACTTATTTCATCTACCTTATTTATAGAGAAAGCACCTTTAAGGATAGCATTTTGGCTTTTGTGTATTTCTTTCAGCGCAGTAAGCCACTATCAGTTTATCCTCATTCTTGTTGACCAACTCAGAACAGTGTTTTTAAGCTCATGACCAAGTAGATCCTTCTGTAGTTTTTTCATGAAGTGAAAAGTATTCTGATGATAGTCCATCCAATAAATGCACAGTAGCCATGTGCCTTTGGTCTAATGCCAAGCCTCTAGTTTTCAGCTCTAATCTGAGAAGCTAAGGTTGAAAGTGACTCTTGTGTTAAATCGACTGATTTTGAGAATATTTTCTGTGAGGAAATACCTAGACTATTAATGACAAGACTGAATGCCTCTGTTTAAGAAAATGTTACCAAGAAGTTCTAAAATGTTTGGATAAGTCTTATGGCAGCTGATGGTACTGTTATGCCCCTAACAATACTTAAATTCTATGACAAAATTGATTTAGTTCACTTATTTTTTCTACATGTACACTTTGTAGTACATGAAATGCCTTTTACTAGTAATATGTGTCATAGTCCATTTTACAAAAGTGGAACTAGAATTTTAGATGAATCCCAATCTTAGCATTTTTTGCACTTACGAAATATTTATGTTTAAACCAGTTACTTAAATGTTGAATCCTTATTCAGGAATGTATCCTTAAAACAGTAAAAATCTATTTAGGACTATAATTTATCTGTTGATTTTTTTTTTTTTTTACTGTTCATATAAAATTTATTTCCTACTTCATTTTACTTCTCTAATTCTTTGTCTTAATGTTTACTGGTATGCCAATAAAGCTGTAATTTTAATTGCCCAGAAAGACTGCAATTGGAAAAGCATGGTACGTCAAGTTCAAGGCCCTATTCTCTGCAAATACAAAAACCCTAGTATAGGACAACACACACCTAAAACTAACCAAGGGCCCCCTGGTGGCATAGTGTCTGTGCGTTGGGTAGTTACTGCAAGATCCGCAGTTCAAACAGGAGAAAGATGGGGCTTTCTACTCCTGTGGTTAAGTCTTGGGAACCCACAGAAAGTTCTGCCCGGCCCTATGGGTCATTAAGAGTCAGAATTGACTAGATCAGTGGTTCTCAACCTGTGGGTCACAACCCCCTTTGGGGTCCCAGGGGTCATCCAATTCATAACAGTAGCAAAATTAGTTATGAAGTAGCAACGAAAATGTTATGGTTGGGGGGTCACCACAACATGAGGAACTGTATTAAAGGGTCACGGCATTAGGAAGGTTGAGAACCACTGGACTAGATAGTGAGTGGATGAGTCTCGACTAACCAGGCATCAAAGTAGGAAGGAACTTAAGACTTCCTAATTCTATTTACTCCCTTCCTCCCACTGCTACCCCAATTAGTGTATTCAGGAGTAACTTCCATCTTAGTGGATCTGGTGGACTCTAGTCTCTTCCAGAGGCCCTGAGGGTACACACAATGGATTAAGTATCGGGCTGCTATCCAGAAGGTCAGCAGTTCAAACTTACCAGCCGCTCCTCAGGAGAAAGACGAAGTTGTCTGCATAGCCCTGGAAATCCCACAGAGCAATTCTCTGCACTGTAAGCTCACCATGTGTGCGAATGGGCTTAATGACGGTGGGTTGGATCGTAAAGGGTTTCGATCCCTTTCAGAAATACCTCTAAAGGCCTAAAGATTTTAAAGGGTGAATCATCTGGAGTCCACCCCTCATCAGGGTGCCAACTCAGATCCTGAAATCATTTTTTTGGCCTGCCTTGCTATGCAGAACATTGTACAGGGTAATGTCTTCCGACAGTGACCAGATAGAGAAGACCTCTATGATAAAATGTCCAGAGGGCCAGAAACATAAGAAATTTATGCAGACACAAGTGTAAAAGCTCTACGGTGGAAATAAACTTGGGGCATTCAAAAAACAGGTCTACGTGGCTGGTGTACTTGGGGAATGGTCAAAGGGCGGGGAAGCTAGAGAGGTTAGGAAGGTCTGGCTAGCCACGTTATCTGGAGCTTGACTTCTATTCTATGGAGCAACAACCATTAAGCTTTCAGCAAGTGGATGAGATCTGCTTTACATTTCTCAAAAAGCCCTGGCTGTTCTGTGGTGTGTCCAAGCCAATAAAAAATTGAAGAGCACCATCAGGTAGCTGTGGCTATAATCTAGAAAGCGGGGACGTAGTTTTAGATTAGGGCATAGAATTAGAAGTCAATAGATGGTGGATTTGATGGTAAACAGATTTGCAAATGGATTCACTTTGAGAAAACAACATACACTCTTGGTCCCAGGATCAGAACGGTAAAGGCAGACTGGGAAAAACAGACGGTGGGTGGAGGAAAACCAAAGGTAATGATCTAGCAGAAGTAAAATGTGTACTGTTCCCTTTACGATAAGCAGAATATTCTTTGATGTGATCCCATTAAAGTACTTCAGACATATTAAAAATACAGAAAATGTCATACTGTGTCCCTTAAGAAATGATTACAAATTCAGCTGAACCCCTTCCGAGTCCCAGCACTACACTCAGTTTAGGGTTTATCCTTGCGTCTGCATGTAGACCTATAAACCAGGATGTTTTTATGGTTTTAAACCTTCTATAAATGGTAACCTTGTTATATGTGTAGTTTACTTTTCCCAGACATTAGCATTATGCATGATGAAACAAAATTCCCTAGTGAACTTTATAGCTGTAGTATTCCACTGTATGATTATATCACAAGTTATCCATTCTCTTGATGGGTCATTAGGTTGTATACTGGAGTAAGTGAAACTGCTGTGGCAGACCCAAGAATGTGATTTTCAAATAAGAGATTTATTTTGTGCTCATATAACAGTCATCTCAGTCTAAGGTGGATGGTCCTGGTTGGCAAGTGGTTCCTTCCCAGGGTGATCCAGTCCATTTTGTGCTCTGGCAGCCCTTAGGGTCTCCACATCACCTACATCTTGCCGGAGGAAAGGGAAATGAAGATGGGGGCATACTGAACTTTTAAAAAGTTCAGTAATTTCAAAATTTTTACATACTTCTAGAGAGAAGTTAGCTGGTTCCGCCTCACCACACATTCCTGGAAACTAACCCATTTGTGCCGCTATCCTGACTTTGCAAGGTCAGAGCAAGTTTTAGTGGGCAGCTGCTGGTCTCCAGTATCTATCACACACAGGACCGCAGCACCTATTCTATTTCCTGGTACACTGGGGCAAGAAGAGTGTCTTCCCATATACGCAGGAATGAGCAGGCCAAGTCTTCAGGAACAGATGCCACTTTACTAAGTTAATGCCAGTTTTTGTGCCACCTTGATTGTGCCACCTTCCATTCCCAACCATGGCAAAGTTCTTACTGCTCACAACTTGATCCTGTCCAACTTAGCGTCTGTTATTCTAATTAATTTTTTTTAATAAACTTAAAAACTCAAGAGTGTAACAAGGATTATCCTGTCCCCTGGGATGACCCTTGGTCCCTGGGTCAGGAAGAAAAAATGAGAAGGGATGATCTACAAGGGCATCTTTACTAGATTCATTCACTTTCATCTCAAACCAATTATTTCTCTTAATCAGCACACTGAGTTCCGGAGCTAATTGAGACAACTCCAATTATAGCTTATTTCAAACCCATACCCACTCCCAACCAGCTTCTTACCCCCCAAATTGTGTCAGCAAGGAGTCAGAGGGCAGGCCGGAGTCAATGAACTAGAAACAGCATGCTAACCAAGAGTCATTTATTTCATCATTGCCAAACAGTTACCAAATCTTACTCACCAGAAATTAACATAGCTTCTTCATTTCTCCTCCCTGGCAACCCTTATCTACGGAAAAGGCTTTAGGGGCACAACTGCCAATGAAAATGAATATACCAGGTACTTCACTCATTTCAAAACGACCTAGTCTAGCAGTATCCAAATCTGGTTTCAATGCTCCCTCGGTCTGAAAGTGGTCTTCAGAGAAGCCCACGTGTTAAAGCTATGTGGAGGAGCACAGAGAAGCACAGAGGGTTCAACCGTTCAGAATTGGAAAAGGGAGTACATGTCCACATCAGGGTGAAGGGTCCCGTATTTTTATGTGGCATATGCCACAAAAAACAGACAACAATCTATCAGACAAAAAATATATGGAAAAAGGGAGAAGAGAATGCAGAACCACAAGAAAGCTGCTACAATTGATGCCCCGAGAAAGCCAGTGTCGAAGAGAAATAGCTCGCTCAACAAGACCAAGAAGACATGAGGTACAGAAAAAGAAATTTTCTTTTCAGCTCCAGGTTTAAGTGGCTACATCTAGAATTAAAAAAATCTCTGGGCATAACAAGACAGAATTTCATAGAAGGGCAATCATCTTAGAAATTACAGAGATAAGAAGATGGGTACAAGGGCAGAAGAGGACTTGGGGGCTTAGACTACCAACTGAGGTGAAGTGCAGGGAAGAAGGGTTGTGCACCTCATTGGCCACTCGTCCAGGGTCATCAGGAGCACTGCACCAAAACATCAGGGGACCATTCTGATCGCTCTCGATCCCGCAGACTGAAGGAGAAGCAAACTCCGGGACGGCCCTAATCACAGCAACAGGACAGACTGCAGGCCCCAGGAAAGGTGGAATGGTATTTGTTTATTGCTTCTACGGTCTTCATTCCAGTCATTTTAAAGTTGAAGCCTGTTTTTCATGCCTGTGGGTCTAGTTCATGACTGCTACTTGGGATAAGCAAAACATTTCCCAGTATAATCAGAGTAGAGAAGTTCTAACTTTTTCATCCTAAATCCATTTTCTTACTTTCAACCCTAAAAACCATATTAGCTTGTTTGTTAAAACCGTAACAAACAGCCTCCATAAAATGTGTTTCCCAAGGAGGCAGGGTAACCACAGTACACGTATGACGACGGTTCTAGTTTCTAGGCTTATTATATCACAAATACAAAAGGAGAAGTCAGGCATGGTTTGAAAATGTAGTTTGCAACATTTTAAGCTAGATGATGGAGTGGCTACTAAATCAATGGAGCTTCCAAGAACATTCTACACCCCGGGAAGGAAAGGACACCAAACAAGTTTCTTAAGTTTTATACAGGGCAAGAGGCCTATAGTTGACCTTAAGAGGGAGCTCTTTGGGTAAGATAAGAATCAGAAAAACAAGAGGACTCCGATAGGAAGAGCAGAAGAACCTACCAAAAAAGGGGAAAGGAGTGGAAAGTGGGGAGTAAACAGGGTAATTTACACAGGAGGAAGAAGCTGAGAGAGTCACACACAGCTGAAGAAGCACATGTCCCTCCACTCAGCCCCATCACTGGTCCTCCCAGCAGACCCCCGGAACAACAGCATCACATCCCCTGAGGGGGGCGGCACTCTCACACTGCCTGCCTGTATTTTCTCCCTCGTTTATGGTTCGTCTTTGAGGGCTTTACTTTCTGGAAATGTGCTGGCACGGGCTCCTGCTCTGGTTCCTTGCCGGAAGTTGACACTACCAGTTGCTCATTACTCCGCCTCTGATCCCTCCCTACTCTAAGACTCTGCTCAGCCTCAGAATGCTCAGTGCTAGGCTGCTGCCGCCTTCGGAGAGACCTTCGGCTTCTGTGCTGCTGCCTCCGCTTTTCTTCTTCTTGCTGCCGCTGTTTGATCTTCATCAGCTTTTCGAAGCTTTTGGTTGTTGTCGGGTTTACGACAAACCAATCCTACGGGCAAAATCAAAAACATCCTTCAGACATCATGGGCGCGCAAAGAAGGGGTGTGGAAAGACAACAAAGGGCACGACTAAGAAACCGGAAGGAGGAATTCAAGGACTAGGAGACATTTTCCGGGACTAAAGGTACATGACATGATTCTGGAAACATTCCGATCTGCAAGACTGGCTAGACCAGAGGAGGTACACTGGTACAGATAGGAACTGAAAATACAGGGAATCCAGGATGGATGAGCCCTATAGGACCAGTGGTGTGAGTGGCAAAACAGGGAGGGTAAAGGGAGAATGGGTAGGGAAGAGGGAACCGATTACATGGAACTGTGTGTGACCTCCTCCCTGGGAGACAGACAACCGAAAAGTGGATGAAGGGAGAAGTCGGACAGGGCAAGATATGACAAAATACCCATTTATAAACTATCAAGGGCTCATGTGGGAGGGGGGAGCGGGGAGGGAGGGTAAAAATGAGGACCTAATGTCGGGGGTTTAAATGGAGAGAAAATGTTTTGAGAAATGATGTACAAATACGCTTTACACAATTGATGTGTGTATGGATTGGGATAACAGTTGTATGAGCCCCTAATAAAATGTTTAAAAAAAACAAAACATTCCGATCTGACCTACAGTGTCAGCTTACTTAGCAACGAACGACCAGTGACTTCCTCCAGTAAAATCTCCATCGTGGCTTTTTATGAAGATGGAGCCGAAGGCAGAGAAGGAAGCCCCTACCATCTCAAAACGGAAGCCAAAGCAAAGGCTTTAAAGGCCAAGGTGGTGGTGCTGAAAGGTGCCCACAGCCACACAAAAAAAAGATCCGCACTTCATCCACCTTCCAGTGGTCCAAGACCCTGAGGCTAAGAAGGCAGCCCAAATACCATGGGAAGAGCGGCTCCAGGAGAAACAAGCTGGACCATTGTGCCATCAAGTTCCTCTTGACCATGGAGTCTGCTATGAAGACAACATGCTTGTATTCATTGTGGATGTCAAGGCCAAAAAACACCACATCAAAGAGGCTGTGAAGAAGCTCTATGACATTGACCTAGCCACGGTCAACACCTTGATTCAGATCAGAACCATCTAAACGGAATCCAACGGCTACTGCTCAATATTGATTTTTTCAATACAAAAAAAAAAAATCTCCATGATGACATGTAAAGCACTGGGCCATACATGATTTTTATTTCATGACCTATCCTGTATAAGAGCAAGAATTTTGCAGCCAGACTGCCTGAGGGCAAAGTGTAACTCAGGGATCCTGGGCACATGACTTTAACCTTTCTGAGTCTCAGAGGTAGAAGTCATGTCATCCAATTATGAAGTATTCTTGCCAGAAATTTTAAAAAACTCAAATCTAATCAGGTGCTAAAGTTTTCTGGATCTCACTAGTAATTTCCAGGCGATAGAGGAACAATATCACATGGATGCAATCAGTAAAATCCAGAATGTTTCTTCAGTAAGTAAATGACAAAGGAAAGGGAAAAAATGGAAACTTCTAGACCTGCATGGTCCTGTGTGGTAGCCACTAGCCCCTGTGGCGAATAAGCTGCCGAAGTGTGGCTAATTCAAACTGAGATGTGCATTCAATTAGACACATCAAATTTCATTTGGTGTGGGTAATAGAAAAAAGATGAATTACATACATGACTTGCATTCTATTTCCATTGGGTGGTCCTGCTCTAGATTAAAATAGACAAACACAGTATGTGGACGTTTTTTAGGTCCTGATTTACATAAGCCACTCTGCAGTGGGGAGGAAGGGGTGTAAATCCACGAGACCATCAGGGAAATTTAAATGATTAAATTAAATGATGGTAACAGAGAATACTAATTTTTAGAAGTGCATTAATTTTTGTAAGTGTGTTGATGGTTGTGGCTGTAAGGTTTAAGATCCTCTATATCAGTGGAATGACCCTTTCTTAGGGGTTGCCAGATTCATAACAGTATCAAAATTACAGTTATGAAGTAGCAACACAAATAATTTTATGGTTGGGGGGGTGGTGTCCACCACAACATTAAAGGGTGGTGGCATTAGGAACGTTGAGAAGCACTGCTCTACATCACTATATACTGATGCACTTCAGCTGCAATGAGTGAGACCTGGGATTGCTGTAGCCTTCGACATTAAAGGAGGGCTTATAGAAAATAAGGTTGACTGTCTACTGATGACTGCGGAAGCAGGCTGGTTGGCAAGTAAGTAGGCCATCACACTTAGTCTCTCAATTTGCACATCTGCACAAGTTTCCTTAATTTTTAAAAATTAAAGGCAAAAAATAGTGGAAGAAAATGTAGAGCAAGGAGGAAGGGAAAAGATGAAAATGATTGATGACAACATAACATTAATAATCTTTGAGCACACTACTTGACGAGAAAATCTTTGTTGATTCCAACTTTTTAAGAAAGAAACCAGGGGGAAAGAGTCAGCTCTACGAAGGCCAAATTTCATCAGAGGATCATTACCTTACAAATATTTCCTAAGCCATATAAAGGTTCTCTGTATACAAAAGTCATGATTGCCTGTCACTTGAGAAATCTGATTGTGAAATTGGATATGCAGAGCTTAAACCGTTGCTTAAGCAACGGAAACCATATTAATCAAGCTAATTACAGTCACACTGAGAACGACTTGGTCCCTGGAGGCCCGACAACAGCTGAAGTTACTCACAGTATCTTTCCCCATTAGCCAACATGCAATTTCTGGAGTCAAGTACTCTACAAGAATGCACATTTTTGTTCCGGAAGCTTCTGTAACATGAATATTTACTCATGTGTGATAAGTAACTTTTCTGTTCACATATCCTTAAAATGTTACCTCAGGAGAGAAATCTTGCCCTTCTAAGTTTTAAAACATGTTAAGAAGTATGTTAATTTTTACAAAGCACATAGAAATATTTTTTAAGTTTGAAAATTTGCCCAACTTGAGCAAGTTGCAATAGTTCAATGAACACGCATATGAAATATAGCATGGCTAATCTCTCTCTTTCCTGCATTCCTTCTTTTGATGAGCTATTTGCAAGTTAGTTGTAAACAGCATGCTGCTTCATCCCTAGGAACTTCAGCATGCCCCTAAGTATTTGAGAGCCACGCTTATGACAACTAATGCATTGACAATATTGGTATACCTAATTTAGCCAACCCACGGGAATGTCTAAAAGTTCATGAAAAATGAAGTTTTAAAACAATGAAGTTAAAAAACAATGGAATTTGCCCGCGACTGTTTGAAACCCCTTTGTATTTAAAATTTCCCACCTGCCTCAATATCCTGTCTGGCTGTTTTGATGAAGAATTTTATACAGCATTGAACATAGGGTACTGGAAAAAACACACATGAGCCCCAAAGACAGAACTTCAAGCGGGCTTCCAAATGCCTTTTTAATTGGATTCAGAGAATTAGAAGAGCTCCCTCCAAGAGTCTCATGGCCAGGTTTCACAAGCTCTCTCGGGGAAAACCCATCTAAACATCTAATGGTAGACAGCATTTGAACTTTAATGTCTCTGGTGGCTGCTTTAGAGTTAATTGTCTTTACAGTCCTATCCCATAAATAAAAGGACCACTTCCATTCTCTGGTGGTTGTAGGAAACCCGGTTGCTCTCTATGGAAAAGATTCAACATGGTGAATGTGGCTTACATACAACAGGAGAGACTCACCTCTGCGTGAACAGAGTTGATGTGATACTTGACACCACTCTCAGACACAAATTCTTTCTGACACAGAAGACACTTGTATTTTCCAGCCACAAAGTTTCCCTATATTTCCAAGAAAGAGAGAAAAGAAAGGTTGGTAAATTCAGGGACACATACCTGTACCATATGAAGGAATTGTTGGAGATGAACTTCAGCAAAAAAAAAAAAAAGAAAAAGGAAAATAATTCCAAAATGGCAATTTTTGGAATTGGGCAGACTTTCAATAAAAGTCACCTAATCTAATGCACGTCTATGCCAAACATTCGTCCCACCTTTAACACACCTGAGGTTCTTTTACTTTGTTTAGGTGGTATTCCTACTTTCCCATGCCTCTTTTCATTTCCCTGCCAGGTTCTCCTGCTTCCTCTCAAGAGGCTCAGAAACTAATACCATGGACTCGGAAACCAGGATTAAGATGACGAATGCCTAAGCGTTCCCGGACAGATGGGTTTGTATGCCCACAACTCATTTGTTGCCTTGAACTGAGACTTCTCTCCCCTAGTGATGCTTCAGGTTTTCGTAGTGCTTACTTATGTTGGAGCTATTTCTGACTGGGGTTGGAAAGTGCCAACAATCTCCATGGCCGAGGGGTTGTAGGAAAACCGGGTCAATATGGAAAATGGCGATTTGTGTGATACTCCTAACAACTTCCTATCCCACAAACCAGAGTAATTTTAGCAAGCTTAGGAGATGGTCACCAACCCAACTAAGTAAATATAAATCACGTAATTCTGAAAAAGATATGGCCCAGTAAGACAGTCAGGCCCAGTGTAAGACAGGCTCAGGTGTTAGGACTTAAATCCCTGCCTAATAGGTATTCAGAAATAATATATTTTTCTCCAAATGCCCATTATTGATATGACTTAGGAATACATGTAGGTTTTGGGTTTTTTTTTTTCCTGAGTTTGGATTTAACTTGGCATCCAAAACTCTTCAGGATATAAAAAACCTAAACCAGTCTCTGAAGATAACAATAAACAGGACAGTGAACTGTTCACCTCAACCGAATGTTCTTCCATGTCAGACTATTTTAAAGCACTTGTTACGATATTAGATTCAGAAGATTACTAACCAATGTGCAAGAGCCCAGATGAGCTTTAAGGCCAGACACACTACTGTAGACGGCCTCGCAACCCTGGGGAAAAAGAAGACATCATGATAATGTAAAGACTATGAAATCGATACATTTGCACTGCTCTGGAAGGAGACTAACAAATAGTATCACAAACCAGAAGAATCATCTATCATGTCTAAGTCCCCAAAACCCACGGACAAGGGAAAAAAGTGAGAACGCAGCATAGCTGATTAGAAAAGATTAAGCCATTCCCGCCCCTGGTACTTTGACATTTAAAGAAACACAAAGCATTGTACAGCTACAAACTTCTCAATGCATTTTCTTCAAACATGTCTCATATTTTACACCCACTCCTCCCCCAAAATGCTGCATGTAACAGTTGTGGTGGATTACAGATTCTCTGCCAAGAGATGGGGTCTAATTCTTCTCCCCTTGAATCTAAGCTGGCCCTGCGATTGCTTTGACCAACAGAATGCCACGGAAGCGATGCTGTGCAACCTAAGAGGCCTGCAGCTTCTGCCTTCGTGTGCTGGGAATAGTCCCCCTTGGAGGCCCACCGCCACGTGCCAGCTATAACACAAGCTCATGAGTAATTCGGCAGAGACCACGTGGAGCACAAACTTCCCCGTGGGTGCTGATACAATAACTGACCTAAAGAATTGTGAACAAATTCAACAACTGATGTTGTAAGCCACTAAGACTGGGCCCTTTGTCATTAAGTAAGCCCTTGTACAGCAGCAAATACTTGAAAAACATTTGCAAATAAATGAGTAAGAAAGAACCACCTGGTTAGGACACTGAATGCGATGATACTTCTTGACCTCTACCTTCCACTTATGTAGTACTTCCTGGCTGAAGGTGGGTAGCCCAGGGCGGGTATATTTCAGCTATTAAAAAGAGACAATTTATTGGAGGCATCCAATTCCTAATCAAAATAACCCAAATACTCAAAACCAACTGTGCAGAATGTAATTCTGGAGTTTCACAAATATGTATACACCCAAAAAATATATAAAAACAACCAAGCTCACTACCACCGATCGAGTCAATTCTGACTCAAGCAAGCCTAGAGGGCAGGATGGAAATGTTCCTTTGGGTTTCCCAGACGTTATTTACGGGACTAAACAGTCTCATTTCCTCCCAAGGTGAACTGGTGGATTTGAACCACGGGCTTTGTGGTTAGCAGCTCAGTGCGTTCCCCCACGATGCCACCTGGGCTCGTATCCTGCCAGAAATAGATGATTTCGTCACATTTTAAGGACATTCTCCGCTAACTAAAACCATTAAACCTTATCAATGAGTTAAATACTTGTATCAAATTCCCTGCCACACACCGAGCACCATGTCACTATAAAGAGCCCCCCTCACTGGTAACACCCACATCTACACTGAATGTTGACTGCCGTGTACTGAGTCTATGGCAGGAAAGAAGTGCAGGAATGGATCTAAAATAAAACAAAGGATGCTTTGATAGTGAAAAACAGGATCTAACTCCTTAGGCAGCAATTGCACTGATTTTTAGGTCAAATAAGAGGTTTTAACTCCTAGGATTTGACCTTTTTTCCCATATAAAATAGCTCTTTCATGTGGCTCAAAGTCCTCGACCAAACTTAGTTACTCTTCTTAAGGACAGAAACAAATTTGGGGGCTTACTGCCCCAGCTTTTCAGAGCAGTTATTTTATGTTGGGTGTTTTTTGCATAATCTTTTATTGAGAAGGTGGACGCTGAGAGAACTTTGTTGCTTTGTTGCAAAACAAACCTGAAGCCACTTAAACTAGATAAAGATGACTTATAATCAAACAAAGAACAAACATACTGGGCAAAGACTAATGCATAGCTCATCTGGGAATTCAGGTCCCTGCTCTAAGTAGTCCAGAGATACAACAAGAAGCTTTAAAGCCCTTCTGATTGGAACCATCTCTCCCAGCTACATGAATCGAATGACTGAAGCTGGATCTGACAGACCACGTCTGTAAGGATAAAGCAGCAAAACATTCCTCATCGCGTACTCACTCAAGTGCATTAACTTTCAGTGTGTAGTAAGCAGCATACTGGACGTAATGGTTCAAAAATTAATACAACATTCCCTTACCTTCCGATCATCCGGTACCAGGTCCTGAAGTACCTTTCTCTTAGGCCATTCTTTGGCCAGCTCTGCAGTGGCCAGCTCCTGCAGGTGGTAGACAGCTATCTTGGCAGAACGCCTCTGAACTCGGCCCCCACTCTTTGACTCCAGGTTCACATCCTTTAAGCATTCGGACTGTCCTGACTCCAAGAAGGAGATCTGAAACAATGAGACACAATAAAAAAACACACTGGACCTATCAGTGGTTTTAGTCAGAGTGTGATGAATGGCTGTCCTTCCTGTTCCATTACCAAGAGGTATTTACTGGCTTACTAACACAAAACGCAAAGTTATACCATGTTTATTCAAGTTTGACTGATAAAAGCGCTTCTTAGCAGAATAATATCTGCTATTGAAAAGTCATCCACATCTCACACCATATACAGAAAGTAATACAAGATGTATCCCTAAATATAAAACTTATAGAAGAAATCACGAGAGAAAATGCAATCCTAAATCTGATAGTTTTTACTGATATGTCCAATTAGTTAGGCTAAAATATCAGGTACACAGGTATTTCTGTGCAGATATTTTATAGGTATAATTAAATTCCATAATCAACTGACTTTAAATAAGAGATGTGTGGAAGAAAAGGCAGGGGAGATTCAAAACATGGGAGAGCTATTGCTGGGATTGAAGAGGAAGGGGCCACAAGCTAGGCAATGCAGAGGGCCAAAGCTAAAAACAACTTCCAGGTGATGAGGATTTGCATCTTTATGGAACTCAATTCTTATACACCCTCAATGAGCCTGGAAATGGATTTTGCCCTAGATGCAGGCCACATGCAGCCCGCCAAGGACATTTATCCGGCCCGCTGGGTGTTTTTTGCCCCGTTTCTGTTTTTTTTTAAACTATAGACCGGCCCTCCAACGGGTCTGAGGGATAGTGAATTGGCCCCCTGTTTAAAAAGTTTGAGGACCCCTGCCCTAGAGCTTCCAGAAAGGAAGGCCGCCCTGCCAACATTTAGAATTCAGCCTGGTGAGACTCTTGACAGAGCAAGCAGCACCTAGATCTACTTCAGACCTGAAGGATGGGAGAGAATAAACTTTTGGTGTTTAAAACCACTACATTTTGTGGTGATTTGTTAAGGCAAAAATTAAAAGGTAATGCATTCATTTAGGCAAAGATTTTTATTAGGTACAACAACAAAGACATTGGCTACAAAAGAAAACAGATGAATCCTATCAAAATTAAAAATATCTGCTTAAAATAAAGGACATGAAAAGACGAATGACAGAATGGTGGTAAGCATTTGCCTAACATATCTGATAAAGGACTTAAAAGATAAAAAACTTGCAGAATTGAATATGTAACAACCCCGCTAAAAAAAATATTTGACGCTTCACTGAAGAAATACAAATGCAAAAAAAAAAAAAAGAAATACAAATGCCTTCATCAAGGGGACTGTAACAAAGAGGAAGTGCTGAAATCCTGGTGGGGACTGAGCATGATAGTGGGACAGGAGGAGAATCAAGGGAAATAGAGGAAAGAGC